TGTCCGTTCCTCTGTTGTTCACTTCACTTCCTCCTTTGGATTTCCCTTTTTTTTCCTCCTTAGGTTCAATCTTTTCTTACTAGAACTTTATCATTCTTTGTTTTCTTTATTTTCTTCTCACACACACACACACACACACACACACACACACAACCTAACCCCTCCAGGTCTCGCCGGTACTGGGGGCAGATATCCGGCTGTTACCCCCAGTCGGGGGACCACGGCTGTGGGAAGCGCCCCCCTGACCTCCGGGGCTCCCTGGTTCCGCGGTGCCTGTCGCCTGAGGCCCCCGGACGCCACCTGTACCCGGTGGTCTTCCTCCTGGTGTCCTCCCACCTGCTGGTCCTCTGGCTCATCCTCAGCCTGGTGGTCCTGCTGGCCAGAGACCAGTAGGCCCGGGAGCGCCGGGAGCATGGGTTTATTTGTCCTCACGCAGAAACACGTACTTTTATCAGAAATCTTCTTCCAACCATATTTTCAGTAAGGTTTGTTCATTAAAAAAGACACAGGTTTTTGTTTACTGGGAAATGTTTATTTGTTCATATTTTTGTTTTTTTATATATATACATATATTATTTTTTTTTGCACATACGTCTGCTTATTTTCTGGTGTTTATGACTGATGAAGCAGCAGCTAACGCTGTGATGCTTCTGTGTGTGTGTGTGTGTGTGCGCGCAGGGACGGGTGCAGGATGGACAACGTGCAGAAGAACGTGGGCAGCAGGAAGTTTGCCTTCAGCGGCGTTCAGCTGCTCACTTTCCCCAGACTGTACCGACCTCCAGACGGCAGCTTCGGATAAAACACCCATGGTTGTTTTTATTCTGTGTACAGATTTGTTGTTGTTTTTTCATAAGATTGATTGTTTCATACTGTGAGTCTCATTGTTTTAATGGTAACGTGTTTGACTAATAAAGAAATACTTTATTTATTTCCAACAAATGTCTTAAACCAAATTTTTGTCAGAAATAAGCTGATGGCATGTGATTAAATAGACACTTAAATAGGACAAAGAAAACAAACTATATTTAAATATAATATTCCTCAACAATATAACACTGTATCATTAGTACTTTCTCTTTACATACAGTACATTTTGCTGGTAAAACAAGGCGTTTTTTAATCTATAATGGAGTATATATTTTGGAATGTGGTATTTCTACTTCCACTGAGGTAAATGATCCAAATAACTTGGATTTGTAGTTTTAAGGTAACAGCTGTCTTCCGGGCCGCCAGGCGGCGCTGCGTCAAGTCAGGCGCATTCACACAAGTAGTTAAATGCTCTTCAAAATAAAAGAGAACGGATTTTATTTATCGAGTTCAACGCATTAATAGGAATGAGGTACGACGGGCTTTTATAAAGAAACGTTTTCTAATTACAACGTGAGTCACAAAAGCGTTAATTTAGCAAAACAAGCTCTTAGCGAGAAGAGAATCGGCTTTTATTTCTTTGTAAAGTCGCCGGAAGTCTGACGCCCCATTAGCGCGAGCTTACCACCGGTCCGCTCAGGCCCAGTGAAAACAAAGCAGCGGTGGTCCTGATGCGTTTGTAAACATCCCTAAAAAAAGACAACCGGTAACTTTATAACAAAGTCAATCCCCCGCCGGGGGGGTCCGTCGTTATCGCATCGGCCTAACGGGTGGCTTTCGTCCCGGGGCCGTTGATGCTCTCTGCTCCCGTTGGTGTTGTTGTGTTCTCGGTGACGGTTGATAATGGAGACGGCTAACGGGCACCCGAAGCTAACGCTATGTAGCCTGCGAGCGGCGGAGGGCCGCGGCTGAAATCACCGGAGAAAGGCGACAAAGGGCAGTGGGCGGTGAAAGCTAAAGACACGCAGGTTTAACTCCCCCTTCCCCGATCGGGATTCCGGGGGCGGCAATGGCGGAATAAGGGTTCAGGGACCGATCAGGACTACGCTTCCCGTCGCCATGGCGCCGGGCTCGCTGGTGGCGGCCTGCCGCAGCCTGGCCCTCTCAACGTGGCTGCTCTCCTTCTGCTTCGTCCACCTGCTGTGCCTGGACTTCACCGTGGCCGAGCGGGAAGAAGTGGTACACCGCCTTCGTCAACATCACCTACGTGGACCCCGCCACGTCGGAGCTGCGCACCGAGAAGACGGAGTGCGGGCCGCTACGGGGAGCACTCGCCGAAGCGCGACGCCAAGGGGATGGAGCGCTGCCGGTGGCGCCGCTCGACCGGCAGGCCTGCGACCCCAACGGCCGGTTCGCGGTGCCCGCGCGGGCCGGGGCCTGGGTGGCGCTGGTCGCCGGGGGCAACTGCACCTACGAGGACAAGATCCGCCACGCCACGGCCCAAAACGCCTCGGCGGTGGTCGTCTTCAACGTGGGCTCCTCCGTCGTCAACGAGACCATCACGATGGCTCATCCGGGTACCGTGAGACTCCTTACGCGTTACACGACTGCGATCGGTGGTTTTGACTTCAGGACACACGTACGTGTGACTGGGGGACATGCAAGAGTCAACCAAAAGCCCAGAGACGTATTTGTAAGCAGCAGTAGCAATAATCAGGAAACCTTTATTACCGACACATGTCACACATAAGAACATTTGACTTGTGGGTTGGTGCAACAGTCAGTCAGCTGGTCTGTGTGTGTGGGGGGGTCACGAATCACATCCTCTTTTCTTCTGCTTCCTGGGTCTGACATGGACACGTTCTATGAATCTGATCTGATCGAATGTGACTCCCGATGCGATTATCAGCCCTTTTAAATGCTGTTTTGATTATTAGTTTGCTGGTTGCCTCCTGCGCCAACAACCGTATTCTAAACCGACTAACGTCGTCTGCCTGTGGCTCTGGAAATCACTTTATCGAGTTCCCGCTGACCTCTGTCTGTTGGCGTGACCACAAAGGAGGAGGAATGTGGGGACACAGCGGGTCGAAAGCTTTAACCGTAGACATCAGCGTGAGAGGAGACGCAGCGTCCTCTGATCCTTCTACCAATGACCACAATCATCCCCGGCCTCGTTATGTAATATAAGTAGTAGTGGTGTAATAATTCTGCTCGGTTACGTAATCTGGTTTGGACGCCACTCTCATCACCACGCCGGGGTTACGGTTTATTTTTAGAGCGCTTCCCTCTCCAGTGGGCGTAGTGATGACACGATATCCAAGCTGAATATAATGAGTTTGATTATTGGTTAACGGGGGGCAACACTTCGCAGCTCTTTACTGTTTGGTGCATTTTAAAGACAGGAAGTGCTGCTTCAACCCAGATGCACAATTCTAATGAAACCGTGTTTAGATGAGACGCTTTGTTCTCCCCCCCCCCCAGGTACGGGCGAGGTGGTCGCCATCATGATCCCGGAGCCCAAAGGCCGCGAGGTGGCCGCCCTGCTGGAGCGCAACGTGGCGGTCACCATGACGATCACCATCGGGACCAGGAACCTGCAGAAGTACGTGAGCAGGACGTCGGTGGTGTTCGTGTCCATCTCCTTCATCGTGCTGATGATCATCTCGCTGGCCTGGGTCGTCTTCTACTACATCCAGAGGTTCCGCTACGCCAACGCCCGAGACCGCAACCAGGTGAGCGCCGGCTCGCGGCCTCCGCGGGGTTCGCCTCGGTCATCGGGGGTTAGGGCGGCATTTCTGCAGACTTTGCCCTGAGGGATTTACCCACAATTCATAGCAACGTGAGGTTAAACACGGGCAGCCGCGCGCGTGTGTGTTCAGTACGGAAACAGAAACGTTAAGCAGATTAAGATGATTTATTCATTCATCTCTCTCCTCACAGCGTCGCCTCGGCGACGCGGCGAAGAAGGCCATCAGCAAGCTGCAGGTGCGCACCATCAGGAAGGGCGACCAGGAGACCGAGGCCGACTTCGACAACTGTGCCGTCTGCATCGAGGGCTACAAGGCCAACGACGTGGTGCGCATCCTGCCCTGCAGGTACACACACACACACACACACACACACACACACACACACACACACACACACACACACACACACACACACAGGGGAACAGGAAGCGGATGTTCAACCGTTAAAAGGACTAATACAGTGCAATGTCTTGCTTTGGACAGCTTGTTTTAAAAAAAATAATTAAATAATTTTCAAAGCAAATGGGATCCCTTTGAAGAAGCTGCTGATGAATATTCCTGATGTATTCATTGTAATTAGTTTATTCAGAAGTGTTGTTGTTGTTGTTCTCTGCAGACACCTGTTTCATAAGAGCTGCGTGGACCCGTGGCTGCTGGACCCCCGAACATGTTCTATTGTGGCAAGAGGAACATCCTCAGAGCCCATCGGGATCGCCTGTGAAGTCCATCGCAGCCTTTGATTTTGGTGAACGCGATTGAAAAGCCTCCGACACACAGATCAATGGCATTAAATTCTGGGGAACCAACCAAATGGTTACTTTCTGTTTGTCCAGAAAACGGAAAAATCTTAACAAATGGAAAAGGAGGGCAAAGCATTTGATTGACAGGTTCTATAATAGACCATAAAGCAGTGGATTCTTTGGGGGCGGGGCTAAGCATTGATTGACAGTTCTATAATAGACCATACAACCAGTGGATACTTGGGGGCGGCACTAAGCATTGATTGACAGATCTATAATAGACCATACAGCAGTGGATACTTTGGGGTGGGGCTAAGCATTGATTGACAGGTCTATAATAGACCATAAAGCAGGGGATGCTTTGGGGCGGCGCTAAGCATTGATTGACAGGTCTATAATAGACCATACAGCAGTGGATACTTTGGGGCGGGGCTAAGCATTGATTGACAGGTCTATAATAGACCATAGAGCAGGGGATGCTTTGGGGCGGGGCTACACGCTAATTAAACTGCACCATCGCCCCTGCAGCTGAACGCCGACTGCCTGGACGACCTGCCGCTGGACTACGACCTGCCGCTGGGCGGTGTAGGGGGAGTGGGCGGAGTCGGGGCCCTGGCGCTAGAGGCCAGCGACGGCACGCTGAGCGAGGGTGGCTCCTCCGTGGTGCTGGATCCCGGCGTGCGGCGGGTGGGACTCCCTCAGGACTACCAGGACCCCGACACCCTGAGGGACAGCCCGTTGACGGCCACCACAGACACACACACAGGTAGCGCACACACACACACACACACACACACACGTACCCGAGTACCCAAGTGCTGCACCAAGTGGGGTCTACGAGGCAAAACTCACATTAAACTTTGTTTTATTGGATCTTTTGTTACAGTAAACCAGGTGTTTTGCTTCATGGATTCAGAAGGGCACAAAAATACAAATGAAAGCATTTCTCTTATTATTTATTTTTTTACCCCCCAGGTGAACTCCAGCCGATGACCAGCAGCACCTCGGTGGCGTCCTTGGTCATCACGGTGGAAACGGGTCTCTCAGACGAGGAGGGGTCCATAGATCAGTGTCAGATGGGGGACAAGTCCTGAGAGGAGACCAACAGTACTGAACCTGAGCCCCCCCCCCCCCTAAACGGACAAATCGGGTTCAGGATTTTTACGTACTCGAGTGGACCTGAAGCTCCAGTGAACGACCCAACTGAAACCAACCCCTGGACCTGGTTCTAGTGTTTCTCTTTGGACCTGTGAGACACTGAGCCAAACTAAACTACCTTCTCTGCACCCCGGCAATGGGGCTCGAGACCAGCTCAAAACCAGGACCTAGACCCTGGAGGGTTTGCACATGGATTCATGTTGGCTCAAGGTGTGTGTTGGTTTTGCTCTGGACTTCAGGGTGTGACTTCATGATTGGTCTGCGAGATTGGATCCAGGATGTGTTCTCACAAGACTCTGGTCTTACTCTCAGTTCTACCGGGATGTAGGTTAGTCCACCTTTCTGGTTCTAGAAGTAGACTCCCTTACCTGTTCTGGTTCCAACCCACAGCGACAGAAACGTCCACTCCAAAAGTTGTGGACTTTTGTCTCCTGATTTTGATGGTTGAATGGGATTCAAAGTGGGTCTCCTGAAGCTACATGCAACCCGTGAGAACATGAGGATGATCATGTGTTTCCTGGTCCTTCAAGGCACAACAAACTAAACCAGATCTGCTGGAGACGTGCTCGCTTTCGGTCCTGGTCTGGGTTCCCTAGAGGAGACGATAACCAAGTTCTCATTTTCTCTTTCTGCCTGACTTTGTGTGTTTTCTGGTGTTTCTGTTAAAGCGGTGGACTCTGTACTACGCACAGTGTTTCTAGGATCTTTAAAGGCTCCTTTATCTCTAGAGTACACTGGTACTGACAGTATTCACTTTGGGTTCCCTCTGTGCGTCTCGGAGAACAGGTTATGATATAAAGTATGTGAAGCACTACAGTGTTCCTGTATTTACACTTTTTTTTAGAATCGTAGTGTTGCGCCAATATTAAACGCTTCTATTAATGTACGTTTTTGTTAGCTTTACATTTCAAGCCGCCTCTCCGCAATGCTAGCGATGTACGTAGCGATCGCTCACACCACCGAGAGGTGGACAAATAAAGTCCACTCAATGCCGTCAAGTGTTAGTCGAGACTTCAGTTTGAGCCTCTACGTGTAAAATAAGGCTCCACCAGTTGCTCCGGATCGTTGGACGGAAGCCGCGTTGGAGCGTCATACCGCGGAACTTCCCGGACTGCCAGAGGGACGTTTGCGAGTTCGGCAACAAACCAGAAAATCCTCCGAATGGTTGAAGGCCAGATTGACGGATCGGACGCCGTAATCGGGCGATACAGTCGGGTCGTCATTGTGCAATGTAGTCGGGCCTCGTAATCGACCGCTCTGATTCATCGTAAGTAGCAATCAGAAGCTGTAATCGGGCAAAGTCGGGCTTCATGGTGGTGTTCTAGTGCCCTGTAACCGGGCAATAGGTCCTAATCCGGCATTGTGTTCTGCAGTTTTGGGTAAAGCGTTAAAGCCGTGACGTAGGAACCCTGTTGTTAGCGTGGCCTTGTTTGTTTCATCGTCCCACCACCACCACGGCCTCATGCTGCCTTTCAGTAAAAACCCTTTAACCTTTTGAACCCTGACAATCAAGAACCGACCATCACTCACTAGTCCGGCATTTCTCCTCCGATCTTTAGCGAATCCTAATATGCGTTTTCTAAACGTTAGAAACTCCGCGTAGGGAATGTGTCCTTGCCTCAAGTGAAGGAGTTCAGGTACTTGGGGTCTTGTTTGTCAGTGAGGGGGAGATGGAGTGTGTTGCCCTCGCTTTACCACATCGTTGAGACGAAAAGAACTGCGCCAGAAGACAAAGCTCCCAATCTACCTTTGGTCACGGCGGATGGGTCATGACCAAAAGAACTAGGTCACGGGTACAAGCGGCCGAAATGGGTTCCCTTAGGAGGGGGGCTGGCGTCTCCCTTTGAGATAGTGGGAGGGGCTCTCCTTTAGGGCAAAGGGGCCAGTTGAGCGGGTTGGGGCATCTGGTGAGGCGGGAGGATGGACCTCCCCAGGGCTGGCTGGGAAGAAGACCCAGGCCGGTGTGGAGGGATCTGGGGACGCCTTTGGAACCCCTCAAAGCTGCTCGATGTGGCCCAAAAGGGACGTTTGTTTGTGCCCTGCTGGGACGTGGAAGTCCTCTGTGAGACGTTCGCATGCTCCCCTGCTTCAGTGAGGCGCCATGAGAGATACAGATTGTCGTCTATTTTGATAACAGAGGAGACGTTTTTATTTTTGTAACAAAGACACCGAGCAGCAACGACTGAATTCCTTCTAAGTTACCAAGTTCACTTGTTAAAGGTGGAGAACCAACGCTGTGGTGTGTAGAGAACAATGAATAAGTAGGATCCTTTTTATCTTGTTCCTCTGGTAGAGACTGAGGCTGGTCTGGCATGGACCCCCCCCCCCCTCCTCCACCCTAAGTACCGTAGCGTATCCGAAGCCAAGTTTTAAAGTTTGCTATGTGCGTCAGCGTTTAATATATCTGTTAATAAGTCATTAGACGGTATACTTTTCAAAGTGGAACCAATGTTTTTCTTTGATGTGTTCCCATTGTCCGTTGACTGAACGGACCCCCGTGTCACTGCCAGTAATGACGTCCGGTTGGTTTCTCCCGGTCCCGTCTCTTCTCGCGGCCCATTGGCTGTTTTCATTGGTTGCTTGGCCTCTTTTTGTCGATGTACTTTAACTCCTCTGGAAGGTTCTGGAAAACAACTCAACTGTCTATTGTTCTCGTTGCTGTTCCTTTGTTCCCTACTTTTAAACTCCCATTTTTACTTGTTTTCCATCAAGATATCTATGTTTCTAAAAAATTGTGGACGGATTGGCCAGACTGCTGCAGACGAAATTGTGTCAAATTTGTGTGAATAGGATTGAGAAAAGCATCTGGGAGATGTTTCCTTGTCCAGATTAAACTTTCTGTGATCAACTGCCAAATATTGTGCCACGATTTGTAGTTTGTGTCAATCGCTAGTTGTGTAATTGTACTGGGATTATACATTTTGACCTTACTTATCATTTTTAACTGCGCAGCGCTGACTTTTATTTTTTACTTGACACAAAGCGGCAAAAGGAGAAAGGATTTCCAGATCCCTCCAGAGACACGTGCAAGTCGAGACATCCCGTGCATCTCCAGCCTCTGCTACCATGACAACAGGAGTGTGATGAAGTGTGTGTGTGTGTGTGTGTGTGTGTGTTTCTAGGATGTGTGTGTGGTAGTCCTAGACACGCAAACACAAAGTTTACACACACACACACAGGTGTAAATATGAGGCGGCGGCGGCGTGACGCCATGTTGTTTCTGTGTTTCAATTGTTGCACGTGTTCTCATTCAGGACAGAATTTAAATAAAAATGTGAATTCAAGTTTTGGTTTGTCATCTTTAAAACTTGGTTGGGATTTGTACTGTTTCTTTTTCCCCAATAATGAAAATGTTATTACAGTCGAACAATTCTGCTTGTCTGTACTTTATAAACCTCTGGATTTGTGTTTTCTTAGTGAAAATATATATTTTCCAAAACCAATGATTTAAAGCTCTAAATTTCCGGCATCTGGTGGTCTTAACATCCAATCAGGACGCCGTAATAATACTTTAAAATGTATGTAAGAGGTGAAGAAAGTACAACCGGATATCGACATAACCCAAAATGATTCACGTTGGTTTGTTCTTTTTTTTATTGTGTAACCCGGATAAAACACCACACTTTAGTGTGAAGCTTAGTGAAGAACATACAATGATTGAAAGATTGAGGACACAAAAGGTACACAAACGCGTCACTAAAGCGCCACCGAACGTCTACATCAAGTACTGATTATCTCCATTAGTAACAAACCTCTAGCAGGAAGCTGTGAACCAACGGAACATCTCTATATTACATTAGTATGTTAACAGAACGGTAACCCACGCACTAGTCTTTGACCAACGCTAACATTAGCATACAACGGTAGCCCGCTCGCTACAGTCCGCTGTGCTAATTTGACGTTAGCATGTAACAGAACGGTAGCCCGCTCGCTACACTCTGCTGTGCTAGCGGTAACGTTAGCATGTAACGAACTGGTCACCCGCCTGCTACAGTGACATTAGCATTAAATGAAAGTATCACGTCTAAAGGAGTCTTATTGGTGGTCTTTTTTTAAGTTAATGCCACCACAAATGTTACAAATTGAAGCTAATCAAAGTTAGCTAAAAAAACGTTTGATTTTGACTTATTTGGTAGAAAAATGTTAGTTACAATTTTGACTTGTGATTTACGATTGCATCTTGTGGTTATATCTTATGGTTGTGGAACCAGAATATAATATATTAAGTATTTAAGAATTGTAACTTATTTTAACTAATGATGTTTTCTCATAGTATTTAATGCAGACCCTCTTTAGGGGGGCAGGTTTGGGGCTACTAGTCTTCTGTAGCTGCACTTTGGGGGTTTGTTAGGTGTAGAAACCGGAAGTGAAATTAAATATTCTTCGAGTTTTTGTATTGACTCAGTTTCCATTTTCTCCGAGCTCCTTTTCATTTGTAATGGTCTGAAAACAGAGAGGAAATGTTTTGCGGGTCAGAAGTGAGTAAACGTGAGTAAACGGCAGGTTGATGTTTGAAATAACATTTTACCTCCAGACTTCATTGTGTGAAAGAGTTGGAGCTGTAAAGAAAGGGATAAGGGAACAATTTCAGATAAATTAAACTTGCTCTCTGGATGCCATAATGAGATATAGTTCTTATTTATTTACCTCCCGGTTTCTCTTCTGGCTTCAGCGAACTTGTGTCTCAACAGGAAAGAGGCCACAGCGTCGGCCACCTGAGCAAATATTCAGTTTTCTCAATTTAAGAAACTCTAACTAAATTTCATTAATTAATCATGTATCTGGAATGGCGTTTTATCCTAAATGCACTAAAAAAGTCTAAATGTCAAATATGTCATCTTAGCATTATACTACAGAAAGTGGTGAGTAAAGTATCAATTTCAGAATATATATTATATTCAGAATTTATTTGTATGTAGTAATAGTTTTCTTACTTTTTCTGGCCTGTTTTCCTGCACTGCGTGTCCACAAGGGGGCAGCACCTGCATCATGAATCTACCTGGAGACACAGCAGGAGACACGTAAACACACATCCCTCTGATGCTGGTTAACCACACACACACACACACACACACAGACACACACACACACACTCTCCTGGGCTGTCACTTCCAGCTTGGTTGTTGACTGACAGGAGCAGCTGCCTCTGGAGAGGATCTGCCGCCTCAAGATGTGTGTGTGTGTGTGTGTGTGTCTGTGTACACCTGAGTGTGAGTGTGTGTGTCCTCAGAGAGGTCTGTGCAGCAGTGAAGCCGCCCACCACCTTTACCTCACAGTTATTGTGGAAACACAGTGTGAAAAGAATGTCAAGTATTCCCAGTACCAGAGTGTCTCTCTGCAAGTGGCATTTTGTCTCTACGAGACTACATTTCCCATCAGCCCCAGTTACCCAGTTACAGAATATTAAGGGTGATAGTTGTCTTTTTTTGTTTGTTCTCGCTTTGTCCTGATGGAAAGTAAAGGAAGAAGTGTTCAGATAATTTACTTTAGTGAAAGTACCAATGGTGAAAATACTACTTTTAATAAGAGCTGTACTGAAGTAAAACCCAGGTCACATTAGACTACTTGCTGAGCATCCCTCACTTCTCTCTTTTCTCCATTTGTTACAAAGTACTTCCAGTAATCTAGTCAGTAGTCAGCGTCTCACCTTGCATCTGCCCAATGGTCAGATTTCTATCCAGCCGGTCGATTCCTGCAAACAGAAGCAGCTTACTGCTTATTATTAATATTAAAAAAAAACACTTTTAAAGGCTAAATTTATAAAAATGTAGAACTTTTGCCATAAAAAGGATCTTTCCAAAAACCCACCGGCCAATAGCAGGAGTTTGGGCAGGTTGCAAGCCAGGAAGAGGTTGGAGGTTCCTCTAAACCAGCCGTCCCAATACTTCTCTGACTTGGAGAGGTCTATGCGCCACACGTAGACCACCTGACCCTGACAGACACGCAACCATCAATCATCTCCATGGCAACACAGCCAAAGACAACTTAATGAATTTAGTGGTTGAAAGTTGGCGGATGAATATAAGTCAATGGATTCACATAAATTACTTTGATGTGCGAGTGTGTTTCGTTTTTGGGGGATTAACGAAAGTCAATGGAAGTAATGTTTGAAGTGTTTGTGTTAGTATGTGTGATTGGTTGCCAATGTGAATGGCATGTTTGTGTATACGCATTTGTGTGTTTACTTTTAATGGTGCGTTTGAATGTGTCCATAATGAATGTAAGTCAATGGAAAGGCTTAAGGTCTCCCATCACTTACATCATCCTACTTTGGTTATAAAGATATGTTACATTCTTGAAAGCATGGAACACATCACACACAGGCTGACGTCATGGTTACTACATGTGAAAGCTGATTACTTGATAATAAATGCAAGTCAATGACACACCCAGACATACGTTTTGAGTAATTTTACTCACTTTGTTATCTACTAAAACAAACGATGTTAGCATCCGTTAGCGCATACAATGGAAGTGACTTCTTTGTTAGCTTCTGTTGTACCGCCTCAGTGTCTCTTCTTTACCCACAGTGCTCTAGTTTTTTATACCGGGCGCTTCGCTGACGTTTACCTCCGAGGTGGCGTTTTCTTTCTCGCCGCTGTGATCGCGGGACTCTGCGTTGTGCTCGACGACCTCGTCGGTCACCGGGCCGGGCTTCTCCGTCGGGCCGGCCTTCTCCGCCAGGCTGGCCTTCTCCATCGCCTCAGCTTCCTCCACCCCACATCTCAACAGATGGGAAGTGAAAGAAGATAAAAGTCACCAGGAAATGATCCACTTATATCTTCCTAGTTTTTACATCATTCATAATCTACTTTGTATTGAAAAAACATGATAAAGCATCAGCCAATCAACATGGGGGTCCCTCCTCTAACGGGCCAATCAGAGCCAGCCTACCTCTTGATCTGACCAACCATGGAGACTCGGGCTGATTCCAGGTTGGTAATTTGCCCGCTACCGACGCTGAAAGCAGGAAAGCAGTTCTGTTAGCGATTGACTGTGAGCAGCTTTAGGCGCAGAGGTGTTTCTGGACTTAACAATACATTTAAAATGGTAAAATGCAGGTCTTTAGATAGAGAATTGGTCTTAACGCTGTTCTTATTTGTTTGTAACGCTCCTTTCTTTAGGTTTGGATGTTTAAAATGTTTTTATGTGAAGTACTTTGAATTTCTCTGTTGTTGAAATATGCTACAAATAAGATTACTTTGCCTTCTGTTTACAGCCTCGGCTCTGGAACCAAACTCCTGGATAGGGGGTGGACTCTATTCTACTCCGGAGTGGCCCATGGTGTGAGGCGCCAGGCGGGTGTGGGGATACTCATAAGTCCCCGGCTGAGTGCTGCTACATTGGAGTTTACCCCAGTGGACAAAAGGGTCGCCTCCCTACGCCTTCGGGTGGTGGGGGGGAAAACTCTGACTGTTGTCTGTGCATATGCACCAAACAGCAGCTCAGAGTATTCGGCCTTTTTGGAGACCCTGAATGGAGTCCTGCATGGGGCTCCTGTAGGGGACTCCATAGTCCTACTGGGAGACTTCAATGCGCACGTGGGCGACGATGGAGATAACTGGAGAGGCGTGATTGGGAGGAATGGCCTCCCTGATCTGAACCCGAGCGGGTGTTTGTTACTGGACTTCTGTGCTAGCCACGGATTGTCCATAACAAACACCATGTTCGAACATAAGGATGTTCATAAGTGTACGTGGTACCAGAGCACACTAGGCCAAAGATCAATGATCGATTTTGTAATCGTATCGTCTGATCTGAGGCCGCATGTTCTGGACACTCGGGTAAAGAGAGGGGCAGAGCTGTCAACTGATCACCATCTGGTTGTGAGCTGGGTCAGAGGATGGGGGAAGACTCGGGACAGACCCGGTAAACCCAAGCGTGTAGTGAGGGTGAACTGGGAACGTCTGGAGGAGGCCCCGGTCCAAAAGATTTTCAACTCACACCTCCGGCGGAGCTTCTCTCACATTCCTGTGGAGGTAGGGGACATTGAACCAGAGTGGTCTATGTTCAAAACCTCCATTGCTGAAGCCGCGGCGGTGAGTTGTGGCCTCAAGGTCTTAGGTGCATCAAGGGGCGGTAACCCTCGAACTCCGTGGTGGACACCGGTGGTCAGGGAAGCCGTCCGACTGAAGAAGGAGGCCTTCCGGGTTATGATATCCGGTGGGACTCCAGAGGCAGTTGCAGTGTACCGACAGGCTCGAAGGGCAGCAGCCTCTGCCGTGATGGAGGCAAAGCAGCGAGTATGGGAGGAGTTCGGGGTAACTATGGAGAAGGACTTTCGGTCGGCACCAAAGTGTTTTTGGAAGACCATCCGGCACCTCAGGAGGGGGAAACGGGGAACCATCCAAGCTGTGTACAGTAAGGATGGCACCCTGTTGACCGCGACTGAGGAGGTTATCGGGCGGTGGAAGGAACACTTTGAGGAACTCCTGAATCCAACTACTACGCCCTCTGTGGTGGAGGCGGAGCTGGAGGCGGAGGAGGGATCATCGTCAATTAGCCTGGTGGAAGTCACTGAGGTAGTCAAACAACTCCGCAGTGGCAAAGCCCCGGGGATTGATGAGATCCGTCCAGAGATGCTAAAGGCAATGGGTGTTGGGGGGTTGTCTTGGATGACACGCCTCTTCAACATTGCGTGGAAGTCTGGGACAGTGCCAAAAGAGTGGCAGATCGGGGTGGTGGTACCCCTCTTTAAAAAGGGGGACCAGAGAGTGTGTGCCAATTACAGGGGTATCACACTACTCAGCCTCCCGGGTAAAGTCTACTCTAAGGTGCTGGAAAGGAGGGTTCGGCCGATAGTCGAACCAAGGATTGAAGAGGAACAATGCGGTTTTCGTCCTGGTCGTGGAACAACGGACCAGCTCTTCACTCTTTCCAGGATCATAGAGGGGGCTTGGGAGTATGCTCAACCAGTCTACATGTGTTTTGTGGACTTGGAGAAGGCGTATGACCGGGTCCCCCGAGAGATACTGTGGGAGGTGCTGCGGGAGTACGGGGTGAGGGGGTCCTTGCTTGGGGCCATCCAATCCTTGTACGCCCAAAGCGAGAGCTGTGTTCGGGTGCTCGGCAGTAAGTCGAAGGCGTTTCCGGTTGGGGTTGGCCTTCGCCAGGGCTGCGCCTTGTCACCAATCTTGTTTGTGGTCTTCATGGACAGGATATCGAGGCGTAGTCGGGGGGAGGAGGGTCTACAGTTCGGGGGGCTGCGGATCTCATCGCTGCTTTTTGCAGATGATGTGGTCCTGATGGCATCTTCCGTCTGTGACCTCCAACTCTCACTGGAGCGTTTCGCAGTCGAGTGTGAAGCGGTCGGGATGAGGATTAGCACCTCTAAATCTGAGGCCATGGTTCTCAGCAGGAAACCGATGGATTGCCTACTCCAGGTAGGGAATGTGTCCTTACCCCAAGTGAAGGAGTTCAAGTACCTTGGGGTCTTGTTCACGAGTGAGGGGAAGATGGAGTGTGAGTTTGGCCGGAGAATCGGAGCAGCGGGGGCGGTATTGCACTCGCTTTACCGCACCGTTGTGACGAAAAGAGAGCTGAGCCGGAAGGCAAAGCTCTCGATCTACCGGTCAATCTTCGTTCCTACCCTCACCTATGGTCATGAAGGATGGGTCATGACCGAAAGAACTAGGTCACGGGTACAAGCGGCCGAAATGGGTTTCCTCAGGAGAGTGGCTGGCGTCTCCCTTAGGGATAGGGTGAGAAGCTCAGCCATTCGCGAGGAGCTCGGAGTAGAGCCGCTGCTCCTTTGCGTCGAAAGGAGCCAGTTGAGGTGGTTTGGGCATCTGGTGAGGATGCCCCCTGGGCGCCTCCCTAGGGAGGTGTTTCAGGCACGGCCAGCTGGGAAGAGGCCCCGGGGAAGACCCAGGACTAGGTGGAGAGATTATATCTCTGCACTGGCCTGGGAACGCCTTGGGATCCCCCAGTCAGAGCTGGTAGATGTGGCCCGGGAAAGGGAAGTTTGGGGTCCCCTGCTGGAGCTGTTGCCCCCGCGACCCGACCCCGGATAAGCGGTTGAAGATGGATGGATGGATGGATGGATGGATGCCTTCTGTTTGTCTCCGGCGGATCGGGACAACGTCAGCTACAGTTACCGCCAAAATTAGCCAATGGCGGAATACGCAGAAGTGAAACTATTTTTTACATTGGATCAAACGTTGCTGTATCGAGTTCTCTTTATACTTCAATGTCAAAAAACAAGATGGCGACGGCCGAAATATCAAAGTTAAGGCTTCAAAACTGACCAATGGGTGACGCCCAGAATAAGAACGCCCGCCTCCTTCATGCAGTCTGTTATCATGACGTAGTCAGATCCAGCGTCTGCAGTGTTTCGCGGGTTAACTGAACTGTCGCTGCTATTGCCAACAGTTTATTTTGCCAAGTCAGCTGCTCAGTTTTTCCTCTCTTGGGTTTTTGTTTGGCAGCTGGCACACGGCATTAGGCGCATTTGAACTTTTTTAACTTTTTTTCGATCAGCTAGATGTTCCGGCCATTGGAGAGATGCATACGTGTGGTGGAGCTCTAATACTCGCCTCCACTCTATAGCGTGGTCCATGGACTTGAAGGACTTGGGTCTTGCTTTCAGAAAGGTCTGCATGTTGTGGAGGGCCTCCGTCGCGCTGCCTGCGGCGGGAAAAGACGACGAGTGAGGAAGATACTCGTGAACATGGCAAACTTTTAAAAAAAGTGAACTCTCACCTTCCACCACGTCTATCGCCACCAGGCCCACGGTGCTCGGCAGCAGCATGTTGCTGGCTGCATGCACCGCGATGGCCCCGCCTACACCGTGGCCAATCAAGACAATGGGGGGAGGGGTCTGACCGTAGCAGGCTCCGATCACATTGGCTACATCACTGAGGGGGGGCGGGGCAAACGGTATCAGATGGTTGTAATGGCGCGTTTGGTTGTGTAGTTGTGCTGTGTTTGTGCATCGGGTGCTGTTACCTGGACATGGCGTGAGTAGAGTAGTCGTCTGATTGGCGGACCAAGGTTCCACCTTAACAGAGATTTTATTTAGCAAAGCAAGGGGACAGTCCCTATTTATTGAGAAGCAGGTTATTTAAGTAATTTAACAAAAAAGTAAAGTAAATATATTTGTTTTTGTGCAAACCGTGGCGGTTCTAGACCATTTTAAAAGGGGGCCCAGGTTGGTGGCAAATGCAATTTTTAAGCACTAAATATATAAACGACAACACAACTATTAAAATTCAACACCATCCTTTTATGTTTGTTTCTTAAGAGACATAAAACAAAACAACATGACACAATATCGTAATGGTAAATTGCATGTACGTTGGAACCATTATTCACATCTCCTGTGATCTATTTCTGTTGCCTCACCGTGACCCCGGAGATCCATGGCGAGGACCCGGCAGGTCACTCTGCTGGCGATCGCCGTCTGCAACGCAGAGAACCAGGTTGTGACCTGGACTCAGAATGCAGCCGGCAGCAACGGATGGTCTGGCTTCGAAGGGACCCGCCGGCGGTACCAGGTACTCACGGTGAAGACAGCCCAGGACAGAGCCGAGTGGCCTCCGCCGTGAAGCAGAACCAGCAGCGGCCCGTCGTGTCCGGCCTTGTAGATCCTGTAGACGTCCCCGTCGTCGGCCGTCCCCACTCTCACGTCCTCCATCTGGTCAAAATACTCCCGCCACGACACCGGCGAGTAGTCCGGCTTCCCGCCAAACTCCCTGTTTGACATGCAGGCACACAGAAGCACGAGGATGTGCACTTCTCGTAAGAATACAGACTTTTCTCTATGTAGGAATCTACTGAAGAAGAATAGCTAGTTTAGCTAGCTAAATGCTACTTTGGCCAGCCTGCAAGATCTCTGTTAGCTAGGCTAACACCGCTCGTTCTCTGAGGCTAACTAGCTAAACCATAACTGCGAGTGGCTGTTGGCATAATGCTCTTTGAGCGCTATGAAATCCAAGTATTCCAGGAGACTGTAACTGTTTCCATATAAACCAACAACGACAGCGTTCTTGTGATGAGGTTGTGTGGTGGATCCTTCAAGAACCAGTTGAGCAGATTAGCTAAATGCCAATTTGGCCGTAATTATTCAAAGTCATTAGATTGTTTTTGAGTTGGTAGCAGAGCAGGATTTTACCTTCTTTCTGTTGATTTTAATAAACATTGATAAAGAATTCTCTCTTGAAATTTGTTTTGAATTTCTATATTAAAGAGGATTGTAACTTCTTTAATAGAAACAAGGAGCTAGCAGCTTATATTGTAGATTCTGTTATGTGGCCGGCTAATAAATCACCAGCTTTTCCTTCTAAGAAAGAAAAAGCATCGTCAGCTAGGCTAACTAGCAAACCCTTAATTGTTTGTAGAGTATATTCGTCCCCTTGTGTGAATAAACTCTGCTAGCTTCTTTAAATGAACTAGCTGCTCCGGAGGTCTGTGGATGACGCAGCTTTTCCTTCCAGAACAAGTTGTAGTACATTAGCTCAAGTTTCCTCTCCATCACGTCTTCCGGCTTTGCAGACCTAGTGGACAAACAACATAAAATGTCTAAGTTCAGCGTCAAAACTTTTCTAAATCTGAGTGATTAAAAGTAAGAAAGGTAGAACGTTATTTTAATTTATAATAATAATAATAAAAAGAGAAATCATTGCTAAAGAAACTGTAACTTTAGATTTACGATAACTCAATATTTACGGTTCAACTCGGTTCAATTTACGGCTCAATTCCTTCTGCACTTAAAGTATGAATTATTTAAAACTATTTCACATGAAGATGAATCTGCTGTTTTTCTGGTAAAATAGGAATAATTGAAAGACTAGAACTAAAAAATTTATATTATATTATTATAGCATATTGGTCGTGGCTTTACATCAAAACATGACAATGTAAATCTACATTGCTGGTGCTGCATTCATAATTATATTCATGCTTCAATCTGCTTATAGACTGAGTCTCTTGTGAGGGCAGTTATAATCATTTACTCATTTTAAAAGGTTTCTCAGAAGTTACATAGAAGTGACTTACTGCTCGGTATCGAAGGTCTCCTCCAACATGCTGCGTCGCGGACGGAAACACTGGTTATCTTTTCAATGTGTATTTCTGTGAATTGTGCGTCTTTGAGGCAATTAAGCAAGTTTCCCTTAAAAAGCAGCTTCCTGTCCGCTTAGTCTCAAATCCATCAACCAAATAAGAGCACTGAGAGCCTCTATGAGAATAAACAAAGATCTATACGACAAACAGAGAGTCAGCTGTGGATGTCGGCCAGCATCGCAGTGTCGGTTCCTATTGGCTGAGAGAGACAAGTGTTCAAAGAGGCTTCAGTTACTCAGCAACCGCACCTCTCAGATTATACATTTAAATGACCATTTGTTCTTTTCGATTTTTCTCTTGGCCAAAAACGTCTATAATTTAATAAAATCTCGACATTTTATCCAAATGTCGGATGTCCTATTTATTTTTTAATGTTTAATGATTTGTCAATAAAAATCAGAAACTATCTCAGATCTCGTAGATCTTTTTTTAAAGAGTTTACACGAAAGAGAAAAGCAGTGACTTTTTATTTAAACATTCCATTTAATTGGGAGGTTTTAAGTCATTGTAAATAGTCCTCCAGTCCACTCAAACAGCCCTCAGGTGGAAGTGACAGACAGCTGTCATATCCAGGTAAAGCCTCTGTGAGGTGAAGAAACTGAGTTATATTTCTGTCCAGAAGTTGTCTTAAAAAAATGGTTATTGTGGATTTATTCAACTCTTTGAGTCAGCTATCTTCTATATTTATTTATGAATTAAGACATTAAACATGATTATATAAGACTTTATTCATTCAGGGGGAATTTGTTGTGCAGCAGTTGCATAAAGAAAGTATGAAAGTGTGAATATACAGGATATGACTCATTTATACAAAAAATTTGCATGTTGCCAAAACCGGCTTAAGAAAACAAATTAAGAAATTAAATATCAGGACGTGACCGAATATCAGGACAAAATAGGGGAGGTTTTTAATAAAAGAGGGAAGAGGAGGAGAAAGGATGGATGAAAAGGGTGTGAGGAACGACCTGAGGCGTGAAGATAAAAAAGAGAAGGGGGAGGAGAGGAAACATGATGATGATGTCCTCCTTCTCTCCTTCCTCTTCTCATTTATTCATAAACGCTTCCTCCATTAAAGCAGCGAGGAGGAGAGCGAGGGAGCGAAGTCAACGGGATCCACGATGGGATTCACTTCTCCCTGAATAGGTATGTACATCATTTAAATAACTTTTATGTTACTGATTAAATTATGTATAATATTACACAATAAATGAGCTGTAATGCTATTGTTTGTTATAATTTCTTCTGTTTCTGTAACTATAATTTCATAATTACATTATTATTGTTTAAAATAGGTATAATATAAAAAAACATTATATTTGAATAAGATTCTACTGATTAAATCTATTTATTAGTATAATGTTATAAAATACTATTGTTTCAAATAACTATAAGGTGGGCTTCTTTTGTGATTGTCATTATTACATTCATTAATCCTATAATGTTATTTTCTTCTTTTGTAAATTTACCTTTCTTATTTACATTTTTTATTGTTACTTATTGTTTTCTCACACCACAGACATTGTTTTTTAATGAAATAAAGCACAAAGTTGTATCAGATATATTCATTTTCTTTAAAAGCATAGTAACATAAGATGGTTTAGGAATATAATATATTTTCCCTGATAGAGGGATTAATACCAAATGCATAGTCTTCTACTGGTTAGATTCGCGGCCGACTACAGGAGCTAACGGAAAACGAATGCTAATGCTAATTAGTGATTCTTCCTTACTAACAGACACATCTCGTTCGCCCGACTACCACTACCAGCCCCCCCCAACCTGAAGCTGAGTGTGGGCACCCTTGGGTTAGATACTGGTTTGTGGATTATATTAAACTGTATGTAAATTACCTTGCTTTAGGTTCGGATGTTTTTAATGGTTTTATGTGAAGCACTTTTAAGTGCCATGTTGTTGAAATGTGCTATACAAATAAATTTGCCTTGACTTGCTTTACTATGATTGACTGTTTTTCCATCCGTTCAGGTGCTGACGCTCGTTTGCCAAAATCTTTGGAAAGAAAAACCATGGAAACGTCCCCAAATGTTTCTAAACGCAGCAAGGATGTTGTCCAATCAGAAAGCCAGATTCCAGAAGAGGAGGAGCCGGAAAACGCCCTTGGGGACATAGATCCCAATGCCAACTGGGGGGCGGAGCCTAACTTCAACCTCAACCTCATGCTGTCCTCCCCGAGCAACCCCCGACCACCCACCGAGACACTGAGGCCTCATAGACGCAAAAAGGATGAGGGTAATAAAGTAGACGGGGCCAAGGTATGGGCCGCCACAGAAACGGGCGCCCTGACGACCCCCGTGATGTCACCGGGCGAAAGAGACGATTTGTGGAGACCGAAAGGCAAAGCATCGGCTGTGTCTCTGAAACCCCTGAACCCCAAAAGGGCTTCTGCACTTGGCCTCAAGGCGAGTCGAAACTCCCCCCGGGGGGAACAAACCGCTGTTGCCATGATGATGGGAAGAGTGAAACCACGAGTACAGAGAACGGAACCTGCTGGTGTTGCAAACCATAAACCATCAAACCCCAAACCACACGTCTCACCGACGGCAAAGACCGCCGGCAAAATAACGGTCGGAAAAGAGATGTCCCTCAAGACGCAGTTGCAGAAAACTCTCTGCCCACCCGTGAGCCTGAAAATCCCAGATCGGAAACTGGCCAATCAAACCCCAGCGTTGACAACCAGATCCCCAAATCAAGCCCCAGGAAGCACCGAACGTGAGTCAAGGAGTCCTGGTTCTGAGACGCCGAATCAGAGGGCTGAACCAGCACTGCTCAGCGTGAAGACTCCTCGAACGAGTTTCTTGAGTCCCAAACCGCCCACCCAGAAAAAAGCCTTGGGGACCAGGAACCGTAACACACCGGGGTCCAAGGAGAACCTCAATGGGAAGGATTCAAGTGCTGGTTTCGGATCAAATTCAAATTCCAAATCTAGTTCAAATTCCAAAGCCACAGACAGTCTGGATTCTGAAAATTGTCCGGACTGTAAAACGACAAAGGGGTCCAAAGACAGTCTGGATTCTAAAAGCGGTTCTGCTTCCAAAACCAGCTGGGCCTTGAAGGACAACTTAGACTCCAAAACCGGGTTCAATTCCCAAGCCAATTCCAAGTTGAAGTTCTGTTTAGGTTCCGGTGATGGGCTCGGATCTAAAACCCCAAGTAAGTGCAAACCAGATAAAACCAGTCCAGATCTTGAGACAGCTGTTGGTCCTAAAGACAACCTGGACCCTAAAACTCCATCAGATTCTAAATACAATCTTAAAACCACTAAAAGTGTTAGACCTTCTGAGTTGAACCTCAGTGATTCTGGGGTCAGGTCCAGTTCCAGACCCAGTTTAAATTCTAAACTTTCTCTGCTGAACTCTGGCTCTAACATGGACCCTGTTGGGTCCGTCCTCCCATCCGCCACTAGAACTGGTCCATCAGGTTACAAAGACAACAGCGTAAGGACCAGCTCCGGCGCTAAACTCAGTCCAGACCCTAAAGCTTCTAGGTCTGGACCAGTTCGTTCGTGGTCAAGGTCGGCTCTGGCAGATTTGTCTCCCTCCTCGGCGTTGTCTCCTCTACCGAGTCCGGGGTCTGGTGCTGGCAAAACTCTGGGTTCAGGTCCAGTCGGACGGCACAGGGAGGTTGCAAAGAGGCCTGGTTCCACTACAGGTAATCACACTGGCCTCATTTTCCTTAAGAAAAGAGAAAAACCTTTGGAATGTAATCGTCTTATTTTTGTGTCCTGCTCGCAGGTTCTGATGTGACCTCAAGCCTTCCGGCTCCTCGGGCCGCCCCCGGCCCAAAAACCAGGACCACCTTTGCTGTGACAATAACGAGCAGATCCACAGCAGAGCCCGAAACGAAAACCAGCAGGACACCCCATAACAATACCAGTCTGACTCTGGGTCCTGACTGTGACTTCAACACCGTTACCGGTGAGGAAGAACACTTAAAACCGCCGGCAAACAAAGTGACAGCCGCCGGAGGGCCGGCGGTATCCCAGGGGGCCGAGCGAGGGAGGGCTGTGACTGACGACACAAGGTGGCTGCGAGGAGACGCGGGGACACCAGGCGCCCCGCAGATCACGCCGGGTCACCTGGGAGACGCAAATGCCGCTGCCTGTGGCAACGTCCTATCGCCGAGGGCAACGGGTGCAGAGAGCGTGAAGGGAGAGAAGAAGAAGCAGCAGAGGGGTAAACAGGGAGGCGGGGGAGGGAGGCCTTCTTCGCTCCTCTGTCCGAGTTCCAAGGCGGTGAGGGAGACGGCGACTATGACCGGAGTGCAGCGGAGAGATTTCGGTGTCCAGGTGGAGCTGGGGGCGTTGGAGTGCTTGAGTCCCTCCCCCTCCTCGATGGGTTCGCCCACCTGCCAGTCATTAACCTCGCCCCTCCAGCACGTCTGCAAGATCGACATCGAGCTTTGCCGCCAATCGCCGCCCCCTTCGGCCGCCGCCGCCCTCACGCCACAGCGGCGACCCGGACGAGACACAAGCGGCAAGGGAGAGGAGGAAGGCGTCGCCAGGGAGGAAGAGGATGGAGAGAACGCGGCGAGGCCGCAGGAGGTGGCGTGGGACAAACAGGGCCGGACGTGGGAGGTGTACGGCGCCGCGGTGGACATGGAGTCCCTCGGCACGGCCATCCAGTCCCACCTGGAGTCCAAGATCCGGGAGCAGCAGAAGCACATCCGGACCCTGAGGATGTCCATCTGCTCCGCCGGCAGCCCCCGGGAGCAAAGCGAGAAGGAGAAAAGGAGGAAGAGGAGGAGGAAGGGGGGGATTCTGGGATGCTGCGGGAAGTCGCTCGCCGTGTCGGACTGAGACCGGAAAAATACACCAGACTCACGTTTATTCACCGTATCTCGAGTCAAAGGCGTGAGTGGTTCTGACTGACGAGAGCAGGGGTTACCGTCAGGAACCCAAACGTGGTCATTTCCTTCGGTTAGCGCTCCCGGTTCGTGCCGAGGAGCTGAGAGGACAGCAGCTCCCTGCTGCTCACTGGAGGTAAATATTTCATCCACCTCCCCTCCGTCAGCCGGACGCCACGCGGGACCACTCAGACGCCCCGGAGAACGAGGGGTGAACTTCCTCTAATCCTCAATCTTCATCTTTCCTGTCCTTTTATTTGCATAATTTTCCTTTTCTTCTGCTCTTTCCTCCGTGTTCACTTTCCCGTCCTTTCGAATATTCATTTCCAGTATTTTCCTCCTATTTCCCGTTCTCTTTCTTGTTTTACTTTCCTTTGTTTCCGTGACTTTCTTTTTCTTGCTTTTCTTTTGAGTCTTCTGTTAATTTCCTGTTTTGATTCGGTTTTCCCTTCCTTCACCTTTTCTTTATTTCCTTTCCTTCTTTCCCTCACGGGTCACATCCGTCTTCATCGTCCACAGACATTTATTAATGCAGTGGTGGGATTCTGCTGACGTGTTGTCACACACACACACACACACACACACACACACACACACACACACACACACACAACCTGCTCCCTTAATGTATTGTTCTGTTTTTCCTTCATATATACTACGGGTTCTTTGTGTGCTCTGAGGCCCTGCTGGGATTTGATGTCCTAAAAGCAGCGCAGCGTGATAACTTTGTCCTCGTCTATCGCTGCAGTTTTATCTCTGAATTATTCAGAAACATTAAAGTCACGCTCGTGTTAACAACAGAGTCTCTCGGCCATCTTTTATTCAGTCCGCGCTGCAGCGACACCGACCCACTTCGGTACGATGCTTTGAGTTGTCCAAATCTTGAATATGTGAGTCACGGCCGCTGGACGGGAAACAAAACAACTCGCCGCTAATCGACCAATGACAATCCAGTATTATTTCATATGTATTATACACATATTATTTTATATCTGAAAAAGACTTGAATGGTCCATTTTCTCTCGTCAGCGGCCTCGGCAGCTTTATGAAACGTTTAAATGCCTTCGATAGTACTCGGGTGTGGTACTTGAGTAAATGTACTCGGTTAAATCCAACCACTGCTGTGGTTTGTTTTACTCACTGACTTTGGCAAAGGGAGGGTCTTCATTCCTTCCCCTTCACCCGGGCCAATAACAGGCACGCCCTTGCCACTGACCCGTGACGTCACGGCCGTGCTGGCTTTTTGATTGGACGGCCGCAGCTCGGTGTCCGGCACCTCCGTTCGAGCCCCGCCCCCCTCCCACCCTCGGTCTCAACAGAGCAGCGCGAGGCTGAAGGACGCCTGTTGCCCGGGAAACAGCAGCGCGGGAAAGAAGAGGAACAAGGTGCGTTTTTGTAGCCACCATTTTTACTTAAAATAAACTATTATAGTGTTTTTCCTCTTGTGATATTATTAATTTATTTTTACAACACTCTTCCAGTAATCCACTAGTACTTTATACTACATACACTAAATGTATTATATTCAGATTAGTTTTTACTGTAGCAACTATTTATATATATAACGTTACATTTATTAAAGTCATACATGCAAAAGAACTTTTCAGATATTTCAGTTATTTATTTTCTGCAGCATGAATGCTTTAGCATTAATTAGTGGTTATATTTTTGCCATTAACTTAATAGATATGTGCATTGTTATGTTTTGTCAACAACAACAAAAGGGTCACATGACCCGACCATGTGAAGGTCCACCGTGACGTGTGTGCAGCCAGTGCATGAAGCACTGAGCTTCAATTGGTTTTGATCACAGCTTTATTTAACGGGCGAACAGGGTGAAGGGTTAGAGTTTTACTAATTTCACTAATTCAGATTAATATATGAATTAGTTAATTAGAAAAAGCTATAGATTAAACTAGCAAACAGTATAAAAAGAAGTTGCAACATAATCAGGAAATATCAGATATAAAAGTCTTTGACACGATTAATCCTTTTACTTTAAATATGGTTTTAAATGCAGGACTTTTAGTCATTTCTCAGTGTGGTATTAGTACCTTTACTGCAGTAGAGCACCAGAGTACTTCCCCACAGTGTTGTTCTACTTCTGTCCCTCCAGCTGAAGGGAAACCCAAACCAACATACCGAAGACTATTTATACACAAACCCGAACATCCACACCTTTAACCTTCGCTCCTCAATCGTTCTGCTCATTGCTCTTTTGACCTCCACTGGAGAAGCTTTGCTGACATTCTGGTTCATGTGGTAGATTCTGGTCATGTGTTCTCCGGCTCTGCTCCACCTGCTGCGATGCGCTCGCACCTCCGTCACCAGAAGAGCCTCCCTCAGCTGCACCGCCTCACGCCAGGTCGATCCACCTCGAGTACTTTAGTACAACTTCAACCCGAGTTCCCCCATTTCACGACACTCTGTACTTCTACTCGCAGAGGGAATGAGTTGCTTTCATTTGATGCAATTAGCTGCGTTCTTCATAACATGTTTGAATTATTATGTGTCTTTAAAAGTATAAATTATCTTATGATATCTATTCAGTATTCCACTAAATATAAACTGCAACATTAAAATGATCTTACGTAGCGACATAATGATTTAATATAAAAACACTTTGAAAGGAGCCTTGATTATTTTTCCTTTTGATACTTTGAGTGCATTTTGTTCACCTTTTACAAATCGTTTACTTGTACAGGAGCATCTGTAGAATAGATTTGTAGGCATTTCTACTTTTACTCCTCAAAGTACTCCTCAAAGTACTTATCCCGCGTAATTTGGGCGTAACTTAATTACAATTTACACTCAATTCGGTTCAACTCAAGTTTAGTATCCAGAACATTAAAAAAAAAGAACCTGAGCGTAACTTGATTAATCAACTAACCGTCTGCTGTGTGATTGGTCGCCCTCCAGGGGGGCGGGGCCTCGCGCGGGGTGCGGCGGGCCAGCGGCTCGACTCGCTTCGACTCCTTCGGCATCTGGGACAACCGGAGAGAAGAAGCGGCGCTACGGCCCCCCGGAGCCCCACGCCGAGAAACCGCTCCACAGGTAACCGATGAACGGATGAGCTGGATGGATGAATCATGGACGAGTGAGCTGATGAATGAATGATGACACGATGACGGATGAATGGATGAGTCAAGGACAAACCAATGGATTAAATGGATGAATTATTGACTGCTGATGGATGGATGGATGGATGACCAATGAACAGATGGATGATTGATGAAGAATGATTGATGGCCGATGGATTGACTGCTGATGCATGGACGGATGATGGACGGATGAATGACTGATGAATAGATGGATGATTGCTGAAGAACGACTGATGGCTGATGGATTGGCACCCGCCGATGGATGATTGATTGACTGCAGATGGATGGCTGGATGATGGATGGATGAATGACTGATGAATAGATGGATGAAGAATGATTGATGGCTGATGGATTGACTGCTGATGGATGGATGGATGGATGAATGACTGACGAATAGATGGATGATTGATGAAGAATGATAGATGGCTGATGGATTGACTGCTGATGGATGGATGGATGATTGATGAAGAATGATTGATGGCTGATGGATTGACTGCTGATGGATGGATGGATGAGTGACTGATGAATAGATGGATGAAGAATGATTGATGTCTGATGGATTGACTGCTGATGGATGGTTGGATGGATGGTGGATGGATGAATGACTGATGAACAGATGGATGAAGAATGATTGATGGCTGATGGATTGACTGCTGATGGATGGTTGATGGATTGACTGCGGATGGATGGATGATGGATGGATGAATGACTCATGAATAGATGGATGAAGAATGATTGATGGCTGATGGATTGACTGCTGATGGATGGATGGATGGATGATGGATGGATGAATGACTGATGAACAGATGGATGATTGATGAAGAATGATTGATGGCTGATGGATGGTTGGATGGATGATGGATGGATGATGGATGGATGATGGATGGATGAATGACTGATGAACAGATGGATGATTGATGAAGAATGATTGATGGCTGATGGATGGTTGGATGGATGATGGGTGGAATGACATGAATGGATGCATCAGCGTGTGAATAGATGGACAGCGGGTGACGTGGTGAATCAACCCCTCTCAGGTGGGTCTGTCCCGGGTCGGCAGCGCCTCCGTCCTCGGTCTCAGGAGGCAGAACGAGGACCGCCTCAGCGTGGCTCGTATCCATGACGACCTGCTCTACTTCGCCGTGTTCGACGGCCACGGCGGTCCGCACGCCGCCGACTACTGCGCCACCTTCATGGAGAAGTTCATCAGGTGGAGTATTCGCGTTGATAATAATTACTAATTGATAATAATTACTAAATCATTATTTAGTAATTATTCAATTGAAACTTTATTGAGTGTTTGTGAACAGAGACGCTCTGGAGGACGACGACGACCTGGAGAAAGTTTTAAAGAAAGCCTTTGTAGACGTAGACGAGGCTCTACACACACACCTGAGCTACTTCAACAACGGTGAGACACACACACACACACACACACACACACACACACCTGAGCTACTTCAACAACGGTGAGACACACACACACACACACACACACACACACCTGAGCTACTTCAACAACGGTGACACGTATTGTAACAATGTTATAACACGTTATAACAATATAACTCCCCCCCATCCTCCCTTTCCAGCCTCCTTCCTGACAGCCGGCACCACGGCAACGGTTGCTATGCTACGCGGCGGCGTGGAGCTGGTTGTCGGCAGCGCCGGTGACAGTCGGGCGCTGCTGTGCAGGAAGGGAGGAGCCAACGCGCTCACCAGAGACCACACCCCCGACCGCACGGACGAGAGGCGCAGGTACACCAGTGGTTCTGTGCGCCGACTTTGTACCCGAGCGATGCTGAGCGGCCGTTTGCTTTCAGGATCCAGAGGTTCGGCGGCTTCGTGGCGTGGAACGGCTCGGGCGAGGCCAGCGTCAACGGGCGGCTCGCCGTGACGCGCAGCATCGGGGACTTCCGCCTGAAAGCCAGCGGCGTCATCGCCGAGCCGGACACGCGGCGCCTCAACGTGAGTCCCGCAAAGAACCAAAAAAACCACCTTGCACCATGTTTCCGTGCGACCAGCGATGGAGGTGACGAGTGAGGTCTCCGCAGGTGCAGCACGCCAGCGACTCCTTCCTGGCGCTGACCACCGACGGCATCAACTTCCTGCTGAGCGACCAGGAGATCTGTGATGTCATCAACCAGTGCCACGACGCCGCGGAGGCCGCCGATGTCATCGCTCAGCGGGTACTAAACAAAGCTCCTTTAACTGAAATACACACACGGACATCCAGGAGAACATCAGCAGGTTGTTTGAAGGTCCACAGTAGGAGGAGCTAATCTCCTAGTTCTGTCCTCTGGTGCTCTTATTTTGTAGGAACGACTCTTAAATGTTATTTAGTCTTGGAGGTGGAGAAAAAAAACTTTCGTTTAGAGTCAAAAAGACCACAAATGAGTTCATGCCCGAGGGCCGGACTTCCCGCTGATTGACAGGTCTCTACCAGAGACGTACACAGTGTCTCTATGTCCTCCTCAGTCCATATATGGTCACTTCCTGTCCAGCTCGAGTGTAAATGAACAATACCGTGTCTGTGTGTGTGTTGTTGTTGTTGTTTTCTGTGTGTGTGTGTTTCTTTAAGGCGCTGCAGTACGGCTCGGAGGACAACGCCACCGCCATCGTGGTCCCGCTGGGAGCCTGGGGGAAACATCAGAGCTCCACCGGCAACTACAGCCTGAGCAGAACCTTCTCCTCCAGCGGGAGATGGGCGTAGACGACGCACACACACACACACACACACACACACACGTCGTGTCATTTTTATGAACTCAAAACGAGCTTTAGTTGTCTTAACTGTTCCTTTTGTGTTATTACTTGAATACACACAGACAGGTTTTCACGTCTTTAACATCCCAGTGGTTTTTCAAAGGTGGGTCAGATACGGACTTTTTGAGCTCAGGTGAGATGAATCATAACATCCGCAGAAGTAACGTGATACCGTCAGTGACTGAAGGAAACATGACGAGCTGAATCATAAAGAACCAAAGTAAAAGATGCCAATAACGGTTGACTGTTCCATAATGTTTATTTTACAACCACTTTGCTGTTTCGCAGTAAAAGTAAGGAAAAGAAATTCTATGATGCCAAAATGTAAATGTGTGTGTGTATATGTGAGCTTTTTTCTTGTTAAAATCTGGATGAGTTAGAATATTTTCTAGGAGGAGACATTTGTAGATTTTAACTTGAAAGAAAGCTTCATTTCTCCAAACCCTCCACCGGCTCTGTGGCGTGACCTTTGACCCCTGACCTCTCTGTGTAGACAGGATCCTCGTGGGGGGGTAAATTGGTTCCCTCTACTTGTTTGTACTGTCACGGAGTATTTCTCCGGTGTAGTATTAGTACTCCAGAGTACAGCGGCCCTTTGACGGCAGCATGTTTTAAATCAGCTGGTTTCGTCTCAGAGGTCCAGCAGGAATCTTAGTCACGTTTCTAAATGAAGAAACAAGTTCCTGCATTTGACCACAAGAACAAAGCACACGCACACGTTACAGGTCTCAGGACGAGAGCCTGAGACAAACTGATGAGAACAGAAATGAATGACCAGGGTGAGCAGCCGCAGCGCCGCAGCGCCACCTACCGGGCGCAGAATGCACCACGCGGTGAAGACGAGTTCTCATTCCAAATTAATAGAAACTAAACACAAATGTGACCACACACAACTTGTGTGACTGCCTATGTGGTGTGTGCGTGTGTGTGTGTGTGGGTGTGTGTGTGTGCGCATATAATAAACTCAGGAATTAAAACCGTATTTGCCTTTCTGGTGTTTAACTTATTTTGATTATTGATCAATTTTTATTATAATTATTGCAAAACATTTTTTCTAAAATCTGCGTATGTCTTCCAGCACACGTGACAATATTAATGACGTAATGCTTGTTTTAAAATGTACTTTTCCACATCACTTTAAACAGTAAGCGTCTGTTTACTTCCGGTGTGATTCACTAATATCACCGCCCATCCGGTTCGCACCGCAGCTGTAAACCGAGCGCCCCTTCCCGCCCCAGGAAGGAGCGGCTGTGAATCACTTCCGGGTTTCTGAGGTCTTCTTCGCTTCAAACTGTTCACTTTTTAAACGAGTCTCTTCACTTTTGTCACTTTTAAACATGACGAGTTGACCGAGAAGGAAACTCGACGCTTTGAGGGAGAAACGAGTCGGTTTTTAACGCCGTGAAGGTAAAACACGTTTTAAATGTTTGTTTTCGCCTCATTAAAGTTGATGAAACAAGGTTCATTAAGGAGCTGAACGTGGTTAATAATTCACCCATAAACACGTAAACAACACATTGTTTACACACCGCGGCTCACGTTACCTCGTCACCATCCAGACCATAATAATCCTCTCACATGTGCATGCTGAGTAATACATGTACACCTTCCTTTAGAGGAAAGTACTTTACCAAGTACTTCACCTGAAGTACCTTATTGTATTATAGTATAAGCTGGTTAATGGTAAGAAAACACATTTGAAGCACTTTTATCTTGACTTGTACTGTGTCGCAGTGGAGGTTCTTCACTCAGTGAGCACAAGTACAGCAGAGATCAGCACATTTTAATTTTTCACCAGTATGCAAAAACCCTCTTTATCAAAAAGATACAAAATAGTTTATAATTTACCTTAATGGATCAAAGCTCAAGCTTTTCTTTATCTTTCTTCCAAGAATAAACTTTAGAGGCGTTTGTACTTTGCGCTTACTGTGGATGTTTATTACGTCTGACTGGGAAAGAAAGTGACATAAGCTTGTGATAAATGTAATGCAAAACACAACCTTAAATAACTCAAATCATCTCTCTACATTCCACCTGATCTGAAGATAAAACCACTACGTAAAAAGTGGGAAACATAAAACACAAATGCATTAACAGGCTTTGGTCTCCAGATGGAGACAGACGACAACACCTTGATTAAAGTTAATCAGAGATGAATAAAGTTTAATGTGAGAGATGTACTTCTGCCTCCTCACCACTAGGGATCACTGCCTGTCTGACGTCAAACATATGAATACATGTATGAATAAATTCATGTATGAAGGTTCACTCTTTGTAGTAACACGATGTGCTCTAAGCAGTGAGAAAGAACACGGTTCTGAATCTAAACATCTTCATTTAAAAAAGCTGTTTATAATGTTACATGACAAGTTTCTTTCTGTTTCTGTCTGCTGGAGGAAGTGGGAGGAGTCAGATGATGGAGGAGGCGGAGCCGAGCGGAGGCGTCATAGAGGAGGAGACTCCTCCGCAGGTGAGACGATGTATAAATCAATGTAATATGCTTATAATAAATAAACAAGACAACAAATGTATGGATGAGTCTATATTGTTTAATCAAGACATATTTTAGAAATACATGTAAATATAAAAATCAATATAGTTATTTCTTATTAGAATGTCTTACTATATTGTTTTTACTTTTGTTATTTGTAATGCCACATTTATTTCCATCTGTTCCATGTGTTCAAATGGATTTTTTAATCATAAAAAACATTTAAGTATGTTACATGAAATATTTGTGATCTTCAGGAGTAACTAATGTTTTTAACTAAATGCAGTTTATCTGATACAGCTGTGAACATCTGCTTCAACTCAACTGAGACCAGAACTCCACTTAAATTATTACGCTGCTTTGAGACTAAAAGAACCATTTTGTATCGCAAGTGCTCCACTTATGTACAATGTTACTTCCCCCTCTGTGTTGCCTGCTACTCGATACCTTTGACTACGAATTTTCTTCTTCACTTTATTTGTCGGACAGCTTTAGTTACTTTACAAACGTTTTACATAAAAAAAACTATCAAATATGAAATAATTTTTCCCTAATTGTTACATAAATTTTAATAATAAATGTGCATTTTTGTCTTCTTCTTCCCCATTAATCATCTCCGGACCCCTCAGATCTATCCGGTGTCACTTTACAGGGCCCAGCCCCCTATGTTGTAAACTTACTTTCCCTCCATTAGACTATCTCCATTTATTGGTAATAAAACGTAAAATATAACAACCCCTAATTCCCACGAGGGCGACCTTTCACTGGTGATACTGATTATGCTTTGGCTGTAGAACTGGAGCACCACAGAACCTGTGAAACGAACAACAGGTGTATTATTTAATGTGTACTCACAAGTTGTTAACATTACTAACTCATAACTCGTGTTATCAGTGAGTCTAAAACAGACGTGTGTTGGACGTATTTCTTTTAGACTGATTTATTATTCACACGTTACGCAAGCAGCCGGATGAAAGAACAAGGAACAGCTTCCACAATGTTATCAGGCGGTTGGCGCGGCAACAAAAGCAGGGCGGTGCGATGAAGGGTGGCGGCGAGGGGCCTGGAGTGACGGCCATTGTCGCGGCTGGAGCCGATGGAGCGAAGGCCGTGACGGGCGTGGTCGGCAGCCGGCTCACCTACGTGCGGAGCGGCGACGAAGAGAAGATTTATTTCTAATCCAACACGTGTCACAGGACTGTTTGGTTCTCAGTGGCGGCTGGAGGAAATCTTGGTTTTTTTAGAACCAGGAGCAGCGCAGAAAATGGCTGAGTCATCATATCATTGCCGTATAAACATAGCTCTATTATAGCGCTTTGAATGCTGACTGGAGCGGCGCCGATGAAGCGCTGCTGCCACCCATAGTATGTGTGCCTCCAAGCGGCCCATGTGCCACCATTCGACCATCCTGCGTGGATGAGGAGGGACGTGAAAGATGCTACTGAGCCTCTTAACTCCAGGAAAACAAGATTTGCCCAGTGATACAACGCTCAACAGACATAGAGTCGTTTCCTGATTCATGTCTCTGGGTGCAGAGGAGTCCCCCCCTTCTGGGTCACGAAAGAGAAGAAGAGGGATTTCCTAAGAGGGTCTATGGGTAGAGAGTCTTCACCCCCTGCTGGTCACTACAGAGAAGTAGAGTCATTTCCTCATAGACGTCTATGGGAGCAGAGGAGTCGCCCCCTGCTGGTCACTACAGAGAAGTAGAGTCATTTCCTCATAGACGTCTATGGGAGCAGAGGAGTCGCCCCCTGCTGGTCACTAGAGAGAAGTAGAGTCATTTCCTCATAGACGTCTATGGGAGCAGAGGAGTCGCCCCCTGCTGGTCACTACAGAGAAGTAGAGTCATTTCCTCATAGACGTCTATGGGAGCAGAGGAGTCGCCCCCTGCTGGTCACTACAGAGAAGTAGAGTCATTTCCTCATAGACGTCTATGGGAGCAGAGGAGTCGCCCCCTGCTGGTCACTACAGAGAATGCAGCTTTAGCACATGAAGCTTTGGTCTCTCTTCAGAACCAGAGGTTGATTTTGAATCTGTTAGCTGAAAATCCTGCTTTTCATGTGAAGCTGGTTAAAATATAAGGTGGTTAATAATAAATCTGTTTTTCTGTAGCAGATTATCCCTTTAAGACGAAACCCGTGCGTGTGTGTGCCAACACGCCTTCAATGCAACACAACAACTTTGAACCATTTTGTGTGTCTGTGTGTGTGTGTGTTTGTGTGTTTGTGTGTTTCTAAAAACACCTGCTCAACATTTCGCCTGAATCATTTCCTGGGAAAAAAATGAAAACGTGGAGGAGGACGTCCAGTGCTGACATTTGTTTTTGTAATCGCAGTTAATCACAGTTGACAACTGTGTGTGTGTGTGTGTGTGTGTGTGTGTGTGTGTGTGCGTGTGCGTGTGTGTGTGCGTGTGCGCGCGGCGTCGTTACCTCTCATCTGCGTCAGGTGACCATTTCCTGGCTCTTGACTGTTCCAGTGACCTCTGACCTCCTCCACCTGCTGCCAACCGCGGCAGGGAGCCTTTTGATCCGGGTGCTGATTGGCCCGCCGACAAGCTGCGGTTCCGTTTCCCACGGTGATCCGTCCGATGCGTCGTCACGGCGCTTTGATTTCCCGACCTCTGACCTCTGTGCTGTCGGTTTACTGCCGATGATCCGGTTCCAGGAACGTTTTGTCGAGGTGGAGCTTTTCTCTCTCGTCGTGACCTCGTATGTTTTGGGAAATTCGAAAGCCTCGAATCACCCGGACGTCTCACAGCTGATTGGACGCCCCGTAACCGTGACAACGCAGAGCGGTGCGCTCACCTCTTGGGACCAACAGAACGGTCTGACCTCCTTCTACGCCTCTCTTGATTTTCCGCAGGACACAAACACAAACTACAACCACGCGGACGGCGACGCCGCTTCCTGTCCAGCTGTGGAAGGTAAACAACTCATTATGTTCGTCATTATGATGCTAAGTCGGGATTTTTATATGAATTGAAACCACCCGTTCACCTTTGACCTCCAGGCGTCCCAGCGCCGCCGCCGAAAAGAGGACCCGTGGTGGTCCGAGCAAACAACAAGAACCCGGCCAGCGAGAACCTGGAGAGAGTCCGCCAGTGGAGCGTTGCCACCTACAAGGTGGGAGGGGTCTGGCCTGTCATGTGATGGATGGCTGTCCATCGATCAATAACCCCGCCCTCCGCCCCGCAGTGCACCCGCCAGGCCGTGTCGGAGAGGCTGGGCCGGGGGTCCCGCACGGTGGACCTGGACCTGGAGCCCCGCCTCGAGCTGCTCAAAGACGACCGGCAGCGCTACGACGGCGTGACCAAGCTGGCCCAGACGCTGGCCAATCAGCTCGCTCAGTTCTCCGTTACCCAGAAGACCCTGGGGGACGCCTTCGCCGAGCTCAGCCTCAAGACGCCGCCGCTGCACGTGAGTACTGTCGACGCTGGTGGCTTACACCGAATGTTTGATTAACCCGCCCCCCCCTCAGCGACGGTCCAATCACGGCTCAGCAACCGTAACCGTTTGTTTTATTTTTATTGAAATTTTTTATTTTTTATTTTTCTTTCTAAATATATATTAATTTGTTCTTTTCCGCATTTTTGATATTTAATTTTGGGGGATTTCGTTGAATTCGGTTAGCATCTCGGCGTCCGCCGCCATCTTCCCGCCAGGTGGAGTTCACCGCGAACGCGGACGCTCAGAAGTTCCTATCGAAGAGCGGCGAGACTCTGACGGCGTCCCTCAACGCCTTCACGTGTGACATGAGCACTCTGATTAACAAGACCATCGAGGACACCATGATCGACGCCAGGCGCTACGAGGCCGCCAGGTGGGTGACATCACAGAGCGACGCGGGCTCCCCGGGGGGCCCCGGAGGAGGAGGCTAACCGGGCTGCTGTGGCCCCGCAGGGTGGAGTACGACGCCTACCGGGTGGACCTGGAGGAGCTGAACCTCGGGCCGCGGGACGCCCTCACCCTGCCCCGACTGGAGCGCGCCCAGAAGGACTTCCAGAGCCAGAGGGAGCGGTACCAGAGGGCCCGAGACGACCTGTCCGTCAAAGTCCGGCTGCTGCAGGAGAACAAGGTGAGGGGGAGGGGCTTATCTCTTTTCAGGGCAAAAAAACGCTGTTTCAATGTCGTCTGAATCTGTCGTCTGAATAAACGGTCTTGTCCGGCGGTCCAACAGACCCCCCCGACCCCCTGTGGATCCTCCATGTTGTAACTTGAGGTCCTTCACATCCTCTGCAGGTCAAAGTCCTCCACCAGCAGCTGTGGCTGCTCCACGCCGCCGTGGCCGCTCACGCCTCCTCCTGCCACGCCTTCCTGGAGCAGAGCGCCGCGGCCCTGGGAGACCCCGACTGCCCCCCCCCCTCCTGGCTGGAGGAGAGCTGATGTCTTGGGTGCTCCTTGGGAGAGGGAGGTGGGTTTATCTACGGGGGGTTAGAGAGACGTTGAACACATTCTGGGTCTTATTTTCACCTTTTGATGTGATATTTAGGACAATAATGATCTCTAATTAACACACAGACACACACACACACACACACACACACACACACACACACAGACACACACACACACACACACACACACACACACACACAGACACACACACACACACAGACACACACACAGACACACACACACACACACACACAGACACACACACACACACACACACACACACAGACACACACACACACACACACACACACACACAGACACACACACACACACACACACACACACACACAACACACACACACACACACACACACCACACACACACACACACACACACACACAGACACACACACACACACACACAAGACACACACACACACACACACACAGACACACACACACACACACACACACACACAGACACACACACAGACACACACACACACACACACACACACACACACACACACACACACACACACACCACACACACACACACACACACACTGTCTTAGTAAATCCATAATCCTCCATTAAGGCACTAAGCCTTTCTTTTAACTCCTCAGCCTCTGCACTCCGAGACTCCCACATCTCCTCCTCCTCCTCCTCCTCAGCTCCTTCACACATCTCCTCCTCCTCAGCTCCTTCACACATCTCCTCCCCCTCCTCCTCAGCTCCTTCACACATCTCCTCCTCCTCAGCTCCTTCACACATCTCCTCCCCCTCCTCCTCAGCTCCTTCACACATCTCCTCCCCCTCCTCCTCAGCTCCTTCACACATCTCCTCCTCCTCGTCTCCTCACACATCTCCTCCTCCTCAGCTCCTTCACACATCTCCTCCTCCTCGTCTCCTTCACACATCTCCTCCTCCTCGGTGTGATGTATAAAACCCTTTGTGTCTTCGGGATCATTTCCTTCTCTTTTATCTGTGACGTGGGCGACATGATCCTCTAAAACTGCAACTGTCACTTTATCCCGAACACAAGCGGGTGGAGCGCTGGACCACGTGTTTGTGTTCGGCCCGAATCGACGCGCCGCCTCCTGCGTGTTCTTATTCCCTTCTGACGGAGACCGTCACAGGGTGGACAGAATAACAGAAACACCGTTGCTCTCTGGACATTATTAATCTGTAGTTGACCTTCGTCTCCTTGTGTTAAAATGTACGACTCTGTTTGGTGTCGACGAAGCTCAGATGTGAGCACAACTATGCAAGGAATCTGTGCCGTTGGTGCAATAATGTCTCCTAACCCTCTTTAAAATGAACGATGACATCATGCTCGTACCAAACATTTAACAAAACCCCAGTCCTAACCTCGTTCATCTTCTAACAGACCAAAAGACAATCAAAGTTAAAAGACAGCGTTTCTTTCTTTTTAAGTAAAAGTGACAAAAAAGGACCAAAATGTACTTAGTGTTTTAATATTTATGGGAATGTTTTGTGTGTAACTGCCAAATAAAATGATATGAAAGCAAATCTCAATTTATTTGTCTAATCACGATGATGCAAGTTTGTGTTGTGACTTCACCTCCACACACACACTTTTTTACTTTCCTCTCCCTTTTGCAGAGATCCTAAAATACTCTTAACATTTTTAATTTGTACAAATTATATTATTTGACTTACAGGGAAAACAGTTTACAACAATATTGTTGGAAGGAAAAATAATCTGCTTTTATCTAAGTAAGATTTTTAGTCGTCAGATAGTATTTTTAGTAATACTTGTATGGTATCAGTACATTTGAGTGTTTTTTAACTCAAAATAATGCACCAAACGTACGCGGGATGAAGGTAGTACGTATATTATTGTAGTTCTCCAGCTGTAAAAACTGTCGACACAGTCTTCATTAGTATTCAGTTTCACAATAAGAGTCCAGTTTGTAGCTGATTGTTTTAAAGAGAGGCCATGATTCCCCGGGCTGCACACAAGTACACAAACTGATGTGTTGTTCTTTTGAAGCGCATCTCAGACAATACCGGAGTATTTCTACACTTCTAATGCTACTTTTACTTAAATAATTTACATTGCTTACTTTTCCAACTTACGGTAACAATATCTTAAGTAGTATTTTTTAGTTATTTTTGTCCTCAATATTTGGGGGTTTTAAGCGCGCTAGCTAGTAGCCGTTTATCCAACATTTTGTTCTAATTAAGTTGACCCTCAAACTATTCATCCTTACCGTTAAGAAGAATTTTAATATTTTAATTCGAACAATATTTTGACTCATAACCAAATACCTGCTGAGCTACTGATATCAGCTTTGTGTCCGTAGCTCGTTATCATGCTAATGCGCTAAGACAAACGGTTTACATTTAGACGTTCATTTAATAACACTCGTAGACTTTTAACTTTGACTTGCAGTGTATTTTTCTTTTACTGTCTTGTATTTGTGCTTTTACAACATTAAAGGATCGGAATACTTGCTGACAGGTTAAAGATTAGCAACTTAGCAAACAGACATTAGCATTTGGCTAAAGGCTGCTAGCTTAGAAAACTGCTGACACATGAAAGCAACACATGTGTGTCTGTGAGGGGGGGGTATGACTAGGGTTATTTTGCCAAAGGCGGGGCCGGTACGGTTTATCTGGACCACACACACACACACACGCTTTAACAGTAAAGACTCGTGTGTGTGTGGAGCGCCTTTACACCTGAGCCATCACGCATGCGCAGACCGCCTCGCCCCGCCCCGCCCCGCCCCCCCGCTCTTCAGGCGGCTGCGTCGCGCGCTGCTCAACCGGCATCACACGGAGTCGGTCGCTCCTGTTTCGCTGTAGAATTGGAGGTTTTGTTGCGGGAGTTCGGCGCAGGAGAGTCCGCGCCGCTGGAGCCGCTCGGCCCGGTGAGTTTAGACGTGAATTCCACGCTGGAGTCGGTAGTTTCCGGCCGTGTTTGATTCCAGAGTGAGAGGAACTTTGCGTTACTGCGTATCGGAATTAAGGCTTCGTGCCACCGAGCTGTTTAACGCGGGACCGGCCGCGTCCACCAGACCTCACTCACATTTACGCTTTATTCTACAATGAGCCGCTCTGATGTTCCCAATGCGCTCCTTGTTTGTGTGTCTACACTTAAAGTGACTTTAGTGTGTTAAATGGTTTGTTCAGAGGTCCTGATGGAGTAATGTGTCCTTCAGTGTCACTGATGTGATAAATGTTCCATGATATTCACAGTTTAAGTTCAGTGAGCAAATACAGATTGGACGTTTATCTGCTCGGGAGCAGGTTTATTTTTACTGTGTTTCGGGGTTTTACCCTCTAAAATATCCAAATATTGAATTTTCAATTGGTCTGTGAGGATTTTTGGAGACTTTATGGAGCTTAATTATTATTACATCTCTGTAATATTGTTTATATTATTCGTAGCAGGTCTTTTGTGCTTTTGTAACCTCTGATAGTCTTTTATCTTAAACACAGACTCCCTGGAGTTTAATCTTCTGTATTTTGAGTGCTTTCTATTTTTAAGTGCTTGAAGGGCTTGAATGAATAGTGACTTTATGCAATTTCTTATTATTTATATTAAGAAATATAAATAGATGTTTCTAAAAACAATTAACTGAGCATCTAAATATTTGCAAATGTTTGTGTTTTAGCAAAGATGCTTTTTGTCCTTTCATCTCTCGGTAGATGGATTTTGGAAAATAGGGTTACGGTTTTTAGCACAATCAATCCGACAGAAGAAAATGTCACGTTTGAAGTTCCGTGTCACACTTCTTAATTAGAATTATTACATATTGTAGAATTGTCTATAAATAACTGATCCACTGAGTGTGAGCTTTCACACCTGCATCGAGAAGGTCTACAGGCCTCAAGGTGTCAACAGTCAATTCACACAACTCCAAAACGTCAGTCGCAGGTCGCTCACGTGACGAGACGTGCGTGCGCTGCTCGAAGGCACTTCATCAGGGCGGGACGGCCTCTGTCTCGGGGACAACGTTGTCTCCACTCGGAAATACGGTGCTTTAAACTGTCACGCTGACCTCTGACCTTTCTTGAATCGCGACAGCGACAATGAAATCCTTTTCGTCCCGACTCGCCGGGTCGCGTCCCCTCGTCCTTCTGCTGCGGCCATCAAAGCAGACGCTCCGACCTCGACGCTCCTAAAGGGACCCGCTCGACCCGCCCACAGCCCTCGGCTTCTCTCTCCCGTCTGGCTTCTCCGTCGCCGTGGCAACCCCAGAGAGGAGCGGTACACTCAACCTGTAGGAGGTATTGATGGCGTAGGAGGTATTGATGGCGTTGGAGGTATTGGTGGCGTAGGAGGTATTGATGGAGGTATTGATGGCGTAGGAGGTATTAATGGCGTAGGAGGTATTAATGGCGTAGGAGGTATTAATGGCGTAGGAGGTATTGATGGCGGTATTGATGGCGTTGGAGGTATTGATGGTGTTGGACGTATTGATGGCGTTGGACGTATTGATGGAGGTATTGATGGCGTTGGACGTATTGATGGAGGTATTGATGGCGTTGGAGGTATTGATGGAGGTATTGATGGAGGTATTGATGGCGTAGGAGGTATTGATAGCGTTGGAGGTATTGATGGCGTTGGAGGTATTGATGGTGTAGGAGGTATTGATGGCGTAGGAGGTATTGATAGCGTTGGAGGTATTGATGGCGTTGGAGGTATTGATGGTGTAGGAGGTATTGATTGCGTTGGAGGTATTGATGGAGGTATTGATTGCGTTGGAGGTATTGATGGAGGTATTGCCGGCGTTGGAGGTATTGATGGAGGTATTGATGGAGGTATTGATGGCGTTGGAGGTATTGGTGGCGTTGGAGGTATTGATGGAGGTATTGATGGCGTTGGAGGTAGTGATGGCGTTGGAGGTATTGATGGAGGTATTGCCGGCGTTGGAGGTATTGATGGAGGTATTGATGGCGTTGGAGGTATTGGTGGCGTTGGAGGTATTGATGGAGGTATTGCCGGCGTTGGAGGTATTGTTGGAGGTATTGATGGCGTTGGAGGTATTGGTGGCGTTGGAGGTATTGATGGAGGTATTGATGGCGTTGGAGGTATTGTTGGAGGTATTGATGGCGTTGGAGGTAGTGATGGCGTTGGAGGTATTGCCGGCGTAGGAGGTCGTGATTGGGCAGGAAGTATCGATCGTGTAGAGAATCGGTGTGCAGGCCGGCCCGGCGTCTGAAGGTTCCTAATGTAGAAGCTCTGGAAGGTCTCTTCCTCCTTGGATCGTTCAGGCCGTGCGTCTCATTCTCTCTTCTTCTCGGGGCTTTTTCTCTCCTGCAGTTCTGGCTGATGTTTCTTTCTGCATGGAAGCTCTCACTCTGCTGTGATCCTCAGGCTGAGGCGTGAGGATGTGTCGCTGCTGGAGGGAAGTGTGGGAGCTAATCCTTCAGAAGGGGGGAGGGATGGTGGGAGGGGGGAGTATGTGTGACTCACAAGGAGCAACTTCCTCCCTGATGCTCCGACGTTTCCACAGGGTGATAATCACACTGCTGACAGCGTAACGATCAATAAGTCAACCGATGCTTATAACAATAAGCGGTCGCATGAGTCATCTTTAGTCCCCAGGTCACGATGTTTGTTCAGTGTGTGTGTGTGTGTGTGTGTGTGTGTGTGTGTGAGAGACATGAGGTCAAATTAATTTGTAGTGTAAATATTTGTCAGTGTATTATTATAACAGGTTTGTGGTGCCTTGTGTGTGTTTTTGATGTACACACCTTTGCCGTGTCGTGGCCCCGGGTCAGTTCCTCAGAACGTTGCCACGGGTCCACGTGGTGCAGCGGTACAGAGGGTGCGCCGGGAAACCGGCTGCTCCATGTCCCATGTCAACGTGTCCCTGAGAAAGACACCGGACCCCTAAATGCTCCCCGGGCCAAAAATGTCAAAAGCCGCGTGTTAAAAATGTATGTAAATGACCTGTGATGTAATGTGATGTAAAAGATCAACCTGTGACTCCCACATGGTAACATAAATCTAAACCTCCATTAAAGGCTGATTTAACAGTCATGTTTTATATTAATCTTTACATCAATAAGTCTGTTCACGTAAAATATTATTGTTTAGTCTTTGTGGACGAGGAGGGAGAGAGAAAACAACAACAACAACAATAACAACAAAACGTGACCCCGATCCAGTCATCCAGTGACAAACCGCCATTGTTTGTGACCCGGTCCGTAACCACGGCGATCGTTGGTCCTGCCGTCCGTTGCCATGGCAGCAAGCGATGGCCGCCGTTCCATAAGTTACCAACAATCCACCGGGTTTCACCGTGAATTCTGTGGATTTAACGGTTCTCTTTTCTTTTTGGCGAATTAATCAAACCAACAGAAATATATCTTATTTATTTATTTAAGTATAAAGGTGTTTTGGGAAATTCGGATCATCAAAGTCACCACATAATAGTTATTTTACTACCAAAGCAAAATGATGCTGAACAAAAATACCAACTTGAATATTTTTCTATATCAATCAACAAAGTAAAAGTAAGATTTATTGAAATTAAAAGTTGTTCTAAATAATTCAATTGATCACAAGTCCTATTATTGTGAATGTTATGATCATTAGCTTTGCATGCAGCATATTTATTGTATTTTTTTGGAACTAAAAAAGAAGAAAATTACAACTAGAATTCATTTAAATTGGACATTTTAATGAAGTGAAACTGTTTTTTGCCACAAAGTTTATGGTGTCGCACCAAAAAGCTTGATTGTTTGTGTTCATTAAAAGGTTGTTTAAAACATTGCAGAGTAATTTATCTGTATTCTTTATTATTCTTTTTCCTGTTTAAGTTCCCGTAGTTTGACTCTTTGATCTTTTGTAAAGAACTTTGAACTCGTATGTGTAAATGTTTGATCGTTTACAGAAACTCAAACTTGGCACAAAGGTAAATGTTTAACACAACGTCATCAATGAGTTTTAATTAAAACTGGTTGTGACAGCTGGATTTTTCCGAGTCATTAATCTGTGTATAGATTTTTTATCTGAACTGATCAACCTCCGATACGATCAATATGTGTGTTTTCAAAATGACGATCCACTTCCTGCTTGTTTTCTGAGGTTTCAGATGTTTTTCTTACTCCGTTTTCTCTTAATTCCTCTCTAGCTCTCTCGTCTTCTGACCTTTGACCCCTCCGATGTCCCTGAAGCGATGACCCACCGTCGCCATGGTCAACCATCGCCGAGGTGACCACCTCGCCTGCCGGAACACCTCCAGTCGGCCGCGAGGACGCACGTGATGGGCAGCGCCCCCCCGGCCAATGAGAGGGAGGCGCTCTTCCTCCAGGTGCAAGGGGGCGCGGCCTTTGCCGAGCCGGCGCCTCCCCCTGCTTCCCCTCCGGACGGATTTTCTCACTCTGAATGTGAGCGGAGGACACCGTGTCCTCCTCCACCTCCTCCCCCGCCCCCACCTCCTCCTCCTCCTCCTCTGCCCCTGCTGGGGACCCTGTAGGAGGACTGAAGAAGAAGAGGGTGCGGAGTTTCTTTTGGAAAACGATACCGGAGGATCAGGTGAGGTCACAGCTCGGCATGGAGTGCCGCCCTGATGACGTTATTATAGCGTGTGATTTACTGTGTGTGTGTGTGTGTGTGTGTGTGTGTGTGTGTTTTGCAGGTGAAGGGGCGGGCCAACCTGTGGACTCAGCGCCGAGTGCAGCAGCAGCACCACATCGACGTCCGGACGATCGAGGAGCTGTTTGGTCAGAAGGAATGTCACTCAAAGGCCACGCCCACAGGGGGAGGGACTACTGGGAGCTCCTTCAGGGAGGCCAAAGAAGAGGTGTGTGTGTGTGTGTTGTGTGTAGGCGTGTGGACAGTTTCCACCTGGGCTCTGACCCCATCTGCCCCCCCAGGTCTCCATACTGGACTCTAGGCGAGGGATGAACATCGGGATCTTCCTCAAACAGTTCAGGAGGTAAATCTGCTTCTCTGAGCACAAGTGAGCATTTTGTCCCCCAAAGGAAATCCGACGTGTGAAGAGAATGAAATCTGCTATTTAACCCGGCGAGCGGCAGCCGAATCTCCGCTACTTAACCAGCGTTACAAACGTGGTACGCGCGTCCTCGCCCCTCACCGCAGGGTGTTGTGGGTAAACAGGTGAGTCGCGCAGACGCAGGACCTCATCCACATGCAGCGGTTCCGACGTCCCCGGATGACGTCCAGGCGTGAAGGACGTGTTTCACGACCACAAACGGCAGGCGTGGCGCCGGCGAGCTCTCCAGGGGTCACATGTGACGTTCGCTCACTCACAGGAGAGCAGGTCGCTCCCCGTAACGCACGCGGGCCGTCGGTTTGTAGACGCCTTCAGGCGCTCACGAGTTCACAGCCCAGAACACGGATGTGAGCATTTCACAAAGATGACAAACGCACCAATTCATTTCTTACGTAAATTAAAAATGAAATGTAATAATCCTTCAAGGTCCATCAGAAGATAGTGGACGATATTCACCGTGGCAACAGTGAGCCGTATGGGGCGGAGCCTCTGAGGGATCTGCTGAAGCTGCTGCCGGAGGAGGAGGAGGTAACACACACACGCACGCACACACACACACACACACGTGTCTTCATCTGCTTCTTCTTCGTGGGTTTCCTCTCCTGAAGGTGAAGAAGCTGAAGTCGTACCGCGGCGACATCTCTAAGCTCTCATTGGCCGATTCCTTCGTGCACCTGCTGCTTCAGCTCCCCAGGTGAGGGGATGACCTTTGACCTCCAGCAGACCTGCTGCTGTTGGTCGTAGAATGAGAGCGGCGTCTCTCCATCAATGAATTACATTTTTTTTTAATGTACAAGTCATTTTTAAAAGCTTATTTTTATTAAACATAACTTTAAAAAATATTTTCTTGATTGAACAACTTTAAATCTTTAGAGTTTTCATTGAAACTTTTCTAATATTTGTCTTTACTCTTTCTATTCTCTTTCTGTTTAAACTGTGAGGGTATTTTGTATTTAATAAAAAATAAAACTGGTCTTTTCTGGTTTATTTGCGTGATGTTTGTCACATCGTCTTCACTCGAATTGCCACGTGTTTTATATTTATTGTCGAAGCGGAGCGACTACATGACTCCTCTGTTTGGTCCCTGGAGTTGCTCCTCACGGCAGACGGGTTTCCCAGCAGCACAAACGTCTTGTTGTCCTCGTCTCTGCAGTTACTGCGTCCGCATCGAGGCCATGCTGCTGAAGGAGGAGTTCCCCGCGGCGAGTGAGGTCATCAGTCGGGACATCGGCATCCTGCGCTCCGCCACCAAAGGTAACGCAAGGTGTGTGTGTGTCTGTGTGCGTTTGGCGCCACCTGCTCGTGCTGCTTCCTGTCCGTCCTCTGACATGAAGAACAACTTTGTTGTTTCTGGTTCTTTATATTTTGCTCCTTCGAGCGTCATGAAACCTCCGTGAAGCAAACGGAGGAACAACAACACCTCGACTATTTCTGTGTGTGTGTGTGTGTGTGTGTGTGTGTGTGTGTGTGTGTGTGTGTGAGTGAGACCTGGATAAGTGAATTGTTAACACGCTGTCGGTGAAGATGTCAGCTCCTACTGAAGACGTTGTCCTCCTGCAGAGCTGATGTGCTGCGAGGAGCTCCACGCCGTCCTCCACCTGGTGCTGCAGGCCGGGAACCTCCTGAACGCCGTGAGAGACGCACGCACACACACACACACACACGACACACAACCCCCTCTGACGCAGCACGCGGTGGTTCAATGGACCCTGAGGAGCAGATGTTTTGTGTCTCTCTCTGCAGTTAGTGGGCATCATGTTGTGGTGGTTAAGTGTTTCCTTTAGATGTTGTGCGTCTCTTTGTGGTGATTTGACTTGAAGTACATTTTGTGTGTGTGTGTGTGTGTGTGTGTGTGTGCGCAGGGAGGCTATGCAGGAAACGCAGTGGGCTTCAAGCTGTCTTCCCTTCTGTCTCTGGCCGACACGAAGGCCAACAAACCCGGCATGAACCTGCTGCACTTTGTCGCTCTGGTCAGTAATGTGTGTGTGTGTGTGTGTGTGTGTGTGTGTGTGTGTTGCAGCTTCTCCTCTGTACCACCGTTAGCTTTGAGCTGAACACAACGGAACATCTGCATCTCTGTGAGGACCTTTTAAGGTCTGATGTTTGGGCTCCGGTTCAGAATACCTCAGGATATGAGTACAAATACTCTCATACAGGATGTAGTACTTCTACCCACGGTGGTACAAATACTCTCATACAGGATGTAGTACTTCTACCCACGGTGGTACAAATACTCTCATACAGGATGTAGTACTTCTACCCACGGTGTAGGAGCAGATCATATTGTACTTCTTTCTGCTTCAGGAAGCCCAGAAGAAAGACACGAAGCTCCTGGAGTTCCCTCTGAAGTTGACTCACGTCCAGCCGGCTTCCAGGTCAGACGTCTCTCTACGCAGGGCAGGGACTACGTTTCCCATCAGCCCCGTCACCTCCCTGTCTGCGTCCCCGCAGGGTCTCCTTGGAGACGCTGGACGCCGAGCTGCAGTGGCAGACGTCCCGCGCGCGCTCAGTGGAGGAGAACGTGCGCCGAGAAGCGGAGCTGCTGCAGCGGCTGGGCGGCTTCCTGCAGGTAGAAGCACAGGAAGTCAGGTGGTATTTCACGTGTGCCGCCACGCCGCTTTAACCCCGCCCCCCCCCCCTCCTCTCAGTCGGCCTCCTCCTCCCTGAGCTCGCTGCACGCCGCCCGGCAGCAGCTGAAGGAAGAAGGCAGCGAGCTGATCGACTTCTTCTGTGAAGACCGAGAGACCTTCAAGCTGGACGACTGCTTCAGCATCTTCAGCCGCTTCTGCTGCAGGTTCACCGCCGCCGCCAAGGTAAACAACAACAACAACACAAACAACATATTAACACATCACAACTGACATTTTAAACTCCTCCCCCTGAAGGAGAACGCAGAGCGGGAGGCCATGGAGGCGGCCCGTCGCCGGCGGCAACATGAGCTGGAGGAGCAGAAGAGGCACTCGTGGGCCGGCAGTGAGGAGGTGAGAGTTCACACACACAAACAAACAAACAAACAAACAAACAAAGGGGCTGACGGGGCGCCGTGTCTCTGCAGGTGGGCGGAGCCGCCAGGCTGCGGTGCCGCAGCGAGGCGGACGTGTCGGCCGCCATGTCGGCGCTCCTCTCCCCGAAGTTCGGCCCGCGATCAGCCTTCAGGAGCTCCCAGAATCCTCGGGGGAGCTGGCGGCGCTCCCGGGTCGCGCCGGAGGTCGCGGCGGAGCGCGAGCTGAGCTCGCTGCTCGGGTCGGCGGCCGACGACGCGAGGAGGCGTTCCTGCCGGGGCTCCGCTCTCTCGGGTCACAACGTGCAGCTTCTCGGGCAGCCTTCGGAGACCCACGCAACCGCCTCTACTTCAGCGACGCCGCTTCTACGGTCGCACGCCGCAAACGCACAGGCGGAGAAAAGGCGGAGTCGGCGCTGGTTTGAGCTCGACTTCGGCAGAGCGACGAGGCGGTCAGGACTTCGGCGAACACCTGTCGGTGTTCTGGAGACGTGCAGCTGGTGCCGCCACGGAGGCGCTCGGCGAGGCGCGGGCGCCCAGAGAAGACATCTGCTGAGAGCCAGGAGAAAAAAGAGGCTCGGGGAAAGCGGTGTTTGGGCTGTCAAGCCCCGGCAGGTGCCCGGCCTCCTCGCCAATCGACGCGTCGAGCTCGCGCCGGCCAATGACAAGCCAGCGCCTGAACCCATCAGCAGCCAGCCGGTGCCCGTCCCCCGCCCGGGCAACCCGTCCCGCCCCGCCTCCTCCCCGATGTGGCGTCCGCCGCCTCTCAGCGCTTCCTCCTCCAAACGAGAGGCAGAATCAGCAAATCCGTCCAGATCGTCCGCCAGGAGCCTCCCGACCCCCAGAACTCGCCCCGCCGGGACGAAGGACGCCGTCGCCCCCGGCAACAAGAACCCGCCTGTCCGCATCCTCACCGTCACCGAGTCGCAGAGCATGAGGCGCGTGGTGTCCATCTCCAGGACCAGCAGGCTCCCCGGGGAGCCCTCGGGGCGCCAGCGGGCCTTGACGCGGCCCTCGGCCCCCGACCCCAGCGGGAACGCGGCGGCGTCCCGCCCCCCCAGGCACCGGGCGGACCAGGAGGTCCCGACAGCTCGAGAGCAGAAGCAGGAGGCCCAGAGGAGGCCGTCCATCAGAAAGCCCTCAGCGAGGCCCCGACCACAGCCGGAGGAGAAGTTGTGTCGCTCCACGCTGCGCTCGCTCTCCGGAGGAGTCGGAGGAGTCGGAGGAGTCGGAGGAGTCGGAGGAGGCGGAGGAGGCGGAGGAGGCGGAGGAGGCGGAGGAGGCGGCAGCGTCAGTGCTCCTGTTACCCCTTTGCACAAAGCCACTACTCCTTCAGCAACTGCTGCTTCCTAGTTTTGCCAGAAGCACCGCCTCCTCTTCTTTCAGACGAACCAACACCACGCTCACTCCTCCTCCTCCTCCTCCTCGTTCACCCCACACCGGCTCCTCCACTAAATCCTCCCCCAAGAACTCCTCCTCCTCCTCCTCCTCCTCAACGCCTTTCACCCGTGCCGGCTCACTGAGAGTCTCTAACCCCCTCAAACCCCCTTCCTCCCCCTCCTCCTCCTCCTCCACCTCGCGGAGGTCCAACAGTATCAGTGCGCCTCCTCGGTCGCCGCTCCACGACCCGCTGCCGCCCCCTAAAGGCCACCGGCGGAGCGACAGCAGCGCCTTCTCCGACAGGTCCTCCTCCCACCCGAGGGACTCAGGCAAGTCCTCCCGGCCGGGCTGGAGATAACAGGAGGAGCAGGAGGAGGAGGAGGCCTCAATATGAAGAACACACTGATCACCGTTGTGAGGTCTGAAGCACAGGTTCTGTGCCGTGTGAGTTTATCCTCCCAGACTCCATTGAGATTAATATGAATTTAAGCTCTGAGGACACAGGAGCTGCTGCTCGACCGCCGCCTCCACCGGTCAGTGAGTTTGTGTTGTCGTGTGACTTTGGCATTTAAACAGGGTTCGTTCAGGCTCGCCAAAGTCACGTGACGACATGAACCCGCAAACGGATGCATTTGACGGCGGAGCAGCACCCCGTTCCGCTCTTGGATGTTAAATTTATGTTTTTCTCAATGGAGTCTGGGGGGAAGAGAGCAAAGGTCACGGCTCACCGCACGATGGAGAGGTGAAAGGTTAAAGTATTCTGAATTTACAGAAGCAACATCAGGGCGAAGCCCTTTGGAGGATGAGGACACCACTGCTCTTATGCTGAAACCATTACTTAATTAACCCATCGGTTATTACTTTATTTCAACTATTTGCACTCCAACGTGAATAAACAGAGCAGTTATTGTGAGCTCTTTCCTTTTCGAGGTACATTATAAATTCTTACTTTTTGTGTGTGACTCTTCTGTTTCCAGTGAAACTGAGAGGAGCACTTGCACATTACCATTTTATATATAGATTTAATTTTCCTTAAAGCTCTAATTATTTCTAACAAGATCACTGAATCTTATAAAGATCACTTTATTTTACGTCTTAAGTTTTGATTCTGCTGCTTTGAGGAATGTGCACATGTGGCCTGATTTAAAGTAGAAAGCACATTATTGTATTAAAAGAGATGGATGTAAAGACAAGGAGATGCTAAAGCTTCTCCCATTCAAACGGTGCCAACTGTGTTAATAAAGGATGTTTGTGTATTTATCTACGTACGATGTCAATATTTGAAATATGTTTAACTATATACTATTGACTACTATACACTATTAATTTCTTCTGTTGAATTAATAAATATAACATGTATATAAACATTTTATTATAATTGGATAGTTTCATTGATGAATATGTTTTCCATGACGCTTCCTCCATAATGTTCAAGGGGAATCATAGTTCTATAAATACTTTTTTGGTGTTTCTCTCCTTTTAAATCCAACATGAATTTACAAAAAAGAAAAAGAAAATACTGCGATACAGTATGGTTTTACTTTTTTTTAATTCTTTTATTGCAGGCACCACGACAAAAATGTGATTTTTCATTTCCGTTTGTATTAAATCGTATTGAATCATTTGATAACAGATGATCCTGTTTTACTGTTATTATAGTTATTGATTTATATAATCAAAGTCGTTATAAAGAATACCGGTATTACCGGTACGAGTCATCCCCTTAAAGTACGTTTATAAATAGTGTATAAAAAGTATTCGTTTTGAAATCGGGAAAAGGCGCGCGTGCCGCCGCGTCGTGTGACGTCATCACAGCGCGCCAAACAAAGCTCCATGTGCGGGAGGACGCAGAGAAAGTCCAACCTCTCCTCGGTCTGTTGGGAGAGAAAAGTGTTTAACAATAAAAGAAACAAACCCGAAGGAGCCCAGTTCAACACCCAGAAGCTTTAATTGTGCTTTGATTTTGAGCTGAAACGTTGAAGCCACTTTTAAGAAGAGATGAGTAAGAAATAAAGGAAGAAGAACGGTGTTTAAACTTTAAAGAGCTCCGCTGCAGATGTTATGTTTTTAAAGGTGAGTCCGGTTTATCTGACAATCATTGCAATATATATATATATATTTATTTATATTACAATAATTATGTTATGGCAAAAGATATAGGTATATAATCATTTTATTACATATATAAATGTATATATATATTTAGGTCCTAGTATATTTAGTTACTGTCGTCTTTGCAGTCCTTTTTAATTTTAATTTAGGTCTGTCATATTTTTTACCTACTTATTACTGCTGCTCTTGTTTTGTACCGTGTATCTTGTGTGCACTGTCCACTTTGCTGCAGCGATCCTGTGAATTTCCCCATTGTGGGACTAATAAAGGAATATCTTATCGTCATACATACACATTATATATATATATATATGTATATATATGTGTATGTATATATATGTATATATATATATGTATATATATGTATATATACATATATAAATAATGTGTGTATGAATGTAAAAAAATGTATGGATTTTGATCGCGAAAACCTACCTACACATTCATCAAAAGCCGATGGGTCTGCTTTGACTCTAAATATCCAGTATTACAGTGAAGTTGGGTTCATTATTATTGTTGCGATGGTGTTGATCTCTTTGTCTTTTCTAGGATGCAATTTGTGACTCTTCCGTGTGACGAATAAAAGATGGAGCATCAAGAACAGAGAGAGGAGGAGGAGGAGGAGGAGGAGATGAAGCAGCCAGGGGCCAAAGACAGAGTGATCAGTGGACCCATCTCAGACTCCTCCCTCACCTCCTTTCCTTTTCTCTCCTCCTCACCGTGCCCAGGAGGAGGATGCGAGGATGACGAGGTCAGGGTTGCCATAGTGACCATCGAGGACGAGTCCTGTCCGTCGGAACCGTTCGGCACGGATTCCCACCTGGAAACGACCAATCAGATTGCACAAAGATGCGGCGAGGGAGACGAAAAGGAGACAGGAGGGGCGGAAGGAGACCATGGGGAGAAGGAAGGGAAAGAGGAGGAGGAGGCAAACTGTTATGAAAGAGAGGAGGAGGAGGAGGAGGAGGAGGAGAACGGCGAGCTGACGTCTCCATCGCTTCACCTGCTGAGCCAGGTGAGTCTCCTCGGGGACGTTTACATGAAGTACTGAGCTGCTTGTACTTCTACTCCTGCCAGAGGTAAGTGATGTACTTTTTACTTCTACCTCCATAAGACATCACAGAGGAGAAGGTTGAACTACACCTGCAGCCGTACTCTTTGTTTTGGACCCGATGAGAAGGTGTCTAGTCCTTCATCTTAATGACCTCCACCTTTCCTCCAAGAGTTTATTGAAGCGTGTTTGAGCTGACAGGAAGCCGCCAGCAGGGGGCGACGTGGCTCAATTTATCACCTCACACGCGTGATTTCCTACTAAAACAAATTCCCAATAAGTGTATTACTGAACTATATTTACTACACACAATCAGGAGGTGTGTGTTCAGGAATGTGCATCGTTCCTCAGATTCCTCCATTGGGATCATGGAATATGAAGTCTCCTCCCATGAGAACTGTCATCATGATGGACACACACACACACACGCATACAGAACCATTCTGGTAAAGAACCAGGAGACAACCTCCGGTTCTTTAATACGTGAAGCTTTGACTTCACTCTTTAAAGCTGCATTCTGTGCAGTGACCAGCAGGGGGCGACTCCTCTGCTCCCATAGACGTCTATGAGGAAATGACTCTACTTCTCTGTAGTGACCAGCAGGGGGCGACTCCTCTGCTCCCATAGACGTCTATGAGGAAATGACTCTACTTCTCTGTAGTGACCAGCAGGGGGCGACTCCTCTGCTCCCATAGACGTCTATGAGGAAATGACTCTACTTCTCTGTAGTGACCAGCAGGGGGCGACTCCTCTGCTCCCATAGACGTCTATGAGGAAATGACTCTACTTCTCTGTAGTGACCAGCAGGGGGCGACTCCTCTGCTCCCATAGACGTCTATGAGGAAATGACTCTACTTCTCTCTTGATTTATTTCCTCAGTAAACATTGTAAACATGAGTTTATGTCTCAATCTCTAGTTTCAAGTCTTCTTCAACACAACATGATGTTCATTTAGTAGATTATGGTCCATTTAGAGTCTTACAGACCGTAAAGCAGGCGATCCTTTAGGGCGGGGCTACACTCTGATTGACAGGTCTCTAATTGACCATAAAGCAGGCGATGCTTTGGGGCGGGGCTACACTCTGATTGACAGGTCTCTAATTGACCATAAAGCAGGCGGTGCTTTAGGGCGTGGCTACACTCTGATTGACAGGTCTCTAATAGACCATAAAGCAGCCGATGCTTTAGGGCGTGGCTACACTTTGATTGACAGGTCTCTAATAGACCGTAGAGCAGGCGGTGCTTTAGGGCGGGGCTTAGCATGTGTGTGGAATCCAGGGCACTAATCTGTGGACACCTGCCGTTGGTTCTAAGAGCATTTTTTCTAGATTACTACACATCTAGCAGATTATAGACAGACTGAGTCCCGATGAGAAGTGTAGACGTTAAATATGTCGTCTCATTGGTTCGTGTGGGAGGAGCCTTGTGGATTGACGAGGTCACATTCCTGCTCTCTCTCACACACACACACACACACACACACACACACACACACACACACACACACACACACACACACACACACACACACATTCATTCCTGGTCCCCCGTCGGCTGCTGACGAGCGGGGGGGATGTGGGGGATTAAAACTGTGACCTTCCGGTTACAGTCAAGTCGTTTTTGTTTCTGTTGTTTTTAAAACAACTCTTTAATTAATTTGGTAAATGTATTATAATAAATTTGTTACAAAGTCTGATTCAGAGTAAGTTTCTCTTTTTATCTGCATTTAACTACACTGCCCAATTATCATGTTTCATTATTAGATATCAATATTATTGTGATATCTACTGAAATATTGATTTAATTCATTTGAGAGGTTTAATGATTATTTGTCACATAATTTCCTGTATTATTAACACAATAATAAACATTTATATTGTGTTAATAATACATCTGTCAGGTTCATCTGCGGGAGGCTTTAGTGAATTTAATTCTGAATTAATGAAAGTTTTTGCGGTTGAAAGGCGACACTTGTTTTCTTCTTCCTGTGATGTCACAGACTTGTTAAAGTGATTTATTGTAGTCTGCATTTTTATTCCATTGAACTTTTTTACATCGTTAGAAAGAACGCTTTCTCCTCTTCGTCTCCTTCCTTTTCCTCTCTTCTCATCTTCCTCCTCCTCTCTCCTCCATCTCCTCCTGTACCTGTTGAGTCTCTGTTGCCCCCCAGGAACCACCTCCTCTTAAAGGCACAGCAACCCATTCAAATAAACATGAGCACTAAGTCTCCGACATCCTGCAACACTGGCTGCATTTATTATTGATGCGCGCGCACACACGCACACGCACACACACACACACACACATGCACGCATGCGCACACACGCACGCAAGCACGCGCACACACACACACACACACACACACACACGGTGCTGCATTGCACCTCTAATGTTTCTCTCTGGAAACGCAGCAGCGTCCTCGAGTAGAAATCTCATCAGCGCGTAAAGTACAGCAGTACTCATTCTGCACGAGGAGGAGGAGGAGGGAGGAGGGAGGAGAGCTGGAGGTAGTGGGGGAGAAAGAGGAGGTGGAGGAGGGAGGAGAGCTGGAGGTATGGGGGAGAAAGAGGAGGTGGAGGAGGGAGAGCTGGAAGTAGTGGGGGAGAAAGAGGAGGTGGAGGAGGGAGGAGAGCTGGAAGTAGTGGGGGAGAAAGAGGAGGTGGAGGAGAGAGAAGAGGAGGGAGGAGAGCTGGAGGTATTGGGGAGAAAGAGGAGGTGGAGGAGAGAGAAGAGGAGGGAGGAGAGCTGGAGGTATGGGGGAGAAAGAGGAGGAGGAGGGAGGTGAGCTGGAGGTAGTGGGGGAGAAAGAGGAGGTGGAGGAGGAGAGAGAAGAGGTGGAGGGAGGAGAGCTGGAGGTAGTGGGGGAGAAAGAGGTGGAGGAGGGAGGAGAGCTGGAGGTAGTGGGGGAGAAAGAGGAGGAGGAGGGAGGAGAGCTGGAGGTAGTGGGGGAGAAAGAGGAGGAGGAGGGAGGAGAGCTGGAGGTATGGGGGAGAAAGAGGAGGTGGAGGAGGAGAGCTGGAGGGATGGGGGAGAAAGAGGAGGTGGAGGAGGAGGCGTGAGCAGCCGTTCCTCACTTTCTACTCAGAGATGAAACATCATCTGCTGAAAATCAATCCTTCACACATTCCTCTGATCCTCTTTATTGATTCATCACACGCCGCTAGGCTAACGCAGTTAGCTCATGCCCCGCACACACACACACACACACACACACACACACACACACACGGCCCCGTCCGCCTGGCCTTTGATGTGGTTTCCACTGTTTCCAGTCTGACAGAAGTTAATTCAAAACACGCACAGTGGAGTGTGGGAAGGAGTCAGCTGGTCTAATGCAGAACACACACACACACACACCGAGGGAGGGGGGGCTGCATACCACAGAAGAAGAAGAGAGTTTGAGGCAACAAACTGATTCATTTGAGTTCCACCTCACCAGCCTAATACGTTTAGAATTATAACATTTAACATTCTAAAATGAGCTATTCTGCCATAATTAGTACTGTTGGTACTTATGTACTTAAGTACAATATGAGAATACTTAAGTTTGGGGGGGTAGAGGGAGCCTGAGGGGGGGTCGGTGATTGACAGCTACTGATATGCAGATTACAGCATCAGAAACACCTGTGAAGTACGACCGACCTGATTGGCCGTCAACTCCAACGCTTGCAGTGTAGCCGTTTGCATGTAGCCTTCAGCGCTTAGCCAGAGGGGGCGGGGCCAACGAGGGAGCGTCACTGCGGTGCCCCCGCCCCCTCCGGAGCGAGGCATGTCCCTGCGTGTTCTCGTGGAGGTCGCGTGCTCCTCCTCAGTGGATCCTGGAGCAGCGCGAGCTCAGCGCGGACTCGTTGCGCTCCCGATCGGATCGATTGGTCCCGATCGATGGCTCGCTGAGGCTCGCGCTCCTCCGCCGGATTAACGGGTCGCGTTGTTTCAGGTGACGTCGCCGCGGTGCGTTTGCGTCTCGCGCGCCGCCATGGGGTTCTACGGCACCCTGAAGCTCATCTTCTACAAAGTGAGTATCGATCAGCGGCCGATCGATCGGGGCGTCGGCGTGTCGCTTGTCTGGATGCGTTTGTTTCATCGCGGGGTTTTGGTCGCTGCTCGCGCGCCGCCGGATGACGAGGCAGCGCAGCGCCTCCGCGCGCACGCGCACGCGCGCGGACGAGCGGCAGAGAGCTGCGTCTCTGATTTGATTGATTATTGATCAGCTGTACAGGGCCGACGAGCAAGGCAGCGCTGAGGCTTATTGGGATGAGTTTCTCCAAGTCGTTCTCTTCCCTGAAAGAGGATTGTTACATAAAATGTAATAAAGTCTTATTATGTTTAATGTTCGTTTATTCAGCTGAAAGTTGAATATAAACACGTGACCTCACAGCTCACGACACACGATTAAAGCCTCAGAGAGCTTCACGTGTTTGCTTCTTTACTAAAAGAGGAATATCACATTAATTTTGGCATAAATCAATAAACATATATTTAATCCACTTAAACTTTAGTATCTAAAGCAAATTGATGTTAAGAGTCAACTCAAAAGATAAAAAACGGTAAATCACTTTTCCTTCCCTCCGCTGTGAATAATTAGTTAATAGAAGGATATTACTCGGTGCATTGTGGGTAAACGACTCTACGGTCACAGTGAGGTCACAGTCCTGAGCATCTTTTCAGTGATGTCATACAGACGTGTACCTGAGGTCCCTCTAGTAGCGCTGACTGAAGTCAACACCTCCAGTGTTTGTCACCCTGCAGCAAAACGTTACCAGCTGCAGAGGTCAGAGGTCGCAGGTTCAATCCCGCTCCCACCAGTGGAAATATTCACCCTTCTCCTGTTTTATTTTGAAAAGCTGAACGCGGATCGTGCAGGCGGTGATGATGCTGTGTGTGTGTGTGTGTGTGTGTGTGTGTGTGTCTATTTTTGACCAATGCTGCACCAGTGACATTCCTGCAATTTTCTGCATTCCTGCGTCCGTTCAGTGAGCGCGGGGGGGTCGTGTGGGGGGGGCAGCAGGCTGACTCAGTCTTTCGGGGGCTGCATGTGAGTGCCAGCGGGGGGGGGCCGTCGGCGTTGGTCTGCGGCCTCGCGGCGCATCTCTCTGTTAACGCGAAGGACACAGCGCGTCGGCCTCGTGCGGGTCAGAACGTCCTGGTTCCCTCAAAGGGAAAAACCAGCCGTGATCTAGGAAATAAATTGCGTGAAAGATTCTCCATCAGTGTTTGTTTGACGGCAGGACGTCAAACCACAAGTTCCCCATGAAAGTGGTTTCAAATGAGACGCGAGGCTCTGATTGTGAGTCTGCTTCTACCAGATAAAACCTCAGACCTTCCCTTTGTGAAACACGTAGAGCTGCTTTAAACATGGCGAATAAAACGGTTAAAGTCTACTAAATAGATTTCAAATTCAGACAACCTCATTTTCTGAAGCTCGGTGTAAAAGCTTTAAATTACCAACGTGAAGGAGAAGTGTAGCTTCCTCATACAGGGAAACCCCAGAAAAGGGATTTAACTCAGCAGCTGCTGGAGGCTTTATATTTGGGTCAAAAATGGCGGAAAATCTTGAAGCAATTTAAAATTGTAAAGCTTCGAACTACCAAAATAAAAGCTTTTTTTGTGAATTCAGGGTTTTTCAATGAGACCATAAATCGTTTTCACACGGACGCTTTTAGCAGGAGAGCTAACGGCGTCTTTGTCCCCCCCGCCAGGTGAAGAGGAAGTTGGACCACGGTCCAGATGGCCGTCCCTTCCCATCGGGGAAGAAGCGCTGCAAAGGCACCGGATACCTCAGGTAAGGTCGGCGCCGCCGCGCGCCGAGAGCACTTCAGTGAGGTCTGTTTTCTCTGCTGCTAATGTACCTGCCCCCCCTCCAGCCCCGCCACTTTGGTTCAGTCCACGGCGCCGCCCGCCTTCGACGACCTGCGGCTGGCCGGCGGGCTCTCGGCGCGGCGGCGTGTCTCCTCGGGGCCGCCGCCCTCCGGCCTGCAGGACTGGCTCCGCACCTTCCAGGTGAGTTCCCCCTGTGGACACGAGGTCGCCCGTGAATTCCTTCTTCCCGCTGCTGTTCTTACGCAACAACACAAACAAGGACACACGAGGACAGACTGTTTGTGTGCGTCCCCCCCGTTAGACGTGGAGCGGCCCAGAGAGGCTGCTGGCGCTGGACGAGCTCCTCGACAGGTGTGAGAGCGGCCAGGTGAAGCACGTGATGCAGGTCATCGAGCCGCAGTTCCAGAGGGACTTCATCTCCCTGCTGCCCAAGGAGGTGAACAACACACACACACACACACACACACACAATAAAGACAACGAAAAGACAGCGTTATCATATAACAATGAAATAATAAAAATAAATCTATACAATTAAAATGATTGGAATATTACTGCATTATTATCATAATTATTCTTGTATAATAGTGGTAGTTAATAATAAAATATATGCTATAAAATGGCAATAAAAGGTCTAGATCTTTTTATTGCTATTTTATTAAAATAAAACAAATGAATGACACAATAAATACAAAATAATAGTAACAATGTAACGTGTACAAATGGCTGTAAAATATAAGTGATTTAAATGGGACCACTTCTCCCTCACCTGAGGGTTTGTGTGTATTTGTATGTTCTTTAAAAGGTGATTGTTCTGATCTCGTGTGTGTGTGTGTGCGCGTGTGTGTGCGTGTGCAGCTGGCTCTCTACGTGCTGACCTTCCTGCCTCCCAGAGACCTGCTGCAGGCCGCTCAGACCTGCCGCTACTGGAGGAACCTGGCTGAGGACAACCTGCTGTGGAGGGAGAAGTGCCGCGAGGAAGGTAAACAAACACCTCAAGTACTTTTACTGCATTCCAGTCCCAAGTTCCTGTGAAGGACCCACAATCATTTTAGTTACTATGGCACTAAAACGAGAAGCAACAAATGTTTGTTTGTTTGTTTGTTTTCTTCCACCTGGGAGAAAAACACAAACAACCGGATGCAAATAAGAGGCGGGAGGTCTGTGGGTGTCCAGTTCTCTTCTAGCCTGAGACACACACACACACACACACACACACACACACACACGGACAGTCAGTCACTCCTTCATTCAGCGCAATGCAGTAGCTCTGTGTGTGTGTGTGTGTGTGTGTGTGTGTGTGTGTGTGTGTGTGCGCATGTCTCCCCCGGGCGTTCTGCCAGTCAGCCGAGATTCACAGCCAGCAACCCGGCAGCCATACCAATGAGGCTACCTAGCGTTAGCGCCGCGCCGCCGCCATACTAATGAAGCCGGGCCCCTCGCGGGGATCCGGTGGATGTTCACGGCGCTGCGCCGGCTCTCATGAGAAGCTGTTAACATTTAAGCTTCTATGACAAGTCAGGAAGATTAGATTCCATGTATATATTTATTTCATAAAGGTCTCTGTGTTTACTGCCATAGCCACAGAAATAAGGAAGGTGTGCTAAGCGTGCTAACATCTAACACCCGTGAGCACTAAACACACCGATACTGATGAGATACTGAGGTATTATAAAGATGTGATATTTGACAACACAATGTTTCCTCTTTCACAGCGTGTTTTCAAGGCTGCATTCACACATTATCACCAGAGTGACAACTTTGTTTGCCTCGTTTTCCCACAACCGATGTAGCATTACAGCGTTAGCAAGCAAGCTAGCAAGTTGATAACGGTTTAATGGGGCGGGCTGATGATGATTCTAACGGTCGCTTCTCCTTCTCTGCTCCTGGGAAGGATACGCCAGCTAGCTTGGTAGCTAACTAGTTGGCTAGCTAGCTTGCTTATTCAGCCGTGCTAAGGTGCCACAACGGTTACAGGAACGGTCATTGCTTCGGAGAAGGACAAGCTAACTCACCAACTAGCGGATAGCTGGCTAGTTAGCGAGCTAGCTGATTCCGCCATGCTAAATGCTACAGCGGTTAAAGAAAGTTAGCATAACTGCGGTAATTAACTCTATTAGCTTGTCTTTGCACACGTTGTGGACGGAAGGGTCTTCACACGCCGTCTCCCCTCCTCTGCTCAGGTGTGTCAGAACACACGTCGAGCCGCCGCAGGAGGCGGCCGGGCGCCACGACCAGCCAGTGGAAGTCCGCCTACATCCGACAGCACCGCGTCGAGAACAACTGGAGGAAGGGCGACGTGGGGGAACCGACGGTACGCCGACTCACCCGATGCGGGACCCCCCCCCCCCCCCCCTCACACCCCTCAGAGGGCCGTTATGAATCTGACTGTGTGACCTTGCAGGTGCTGAAAGGTCACGGCGAACACGTGATCACATGTCTGCAGTTCAGCGGCGACCTCATCGTCAGCGGTTCTGATGACAACTCACTCAAAGTCTGGTCCGCCCTCACCGGAAAGGTATTGATTATGCAAATCAGGGTTTGTATCCTAGTATATGTTTTCATTTTATTTATATATATATATTTATATATATATATATATATATATGTATATATATGAATTTGCCCGGCTCCACCGTCGGTGCTTGAAGCCTCCGACCGGTCGAACATTTTCACGCTGTCTGTCGATGTGTCACCTTAATGAATTCATTTAAACACACGTGTCGGAACAAGACAAAGGGCAGGAAGCCGAATGGAATGCAGCCTTGTCGATGTTCCCTTCACACCTTTCCTTCTCGCTCACACACTCTTCGGTCTCCTAGTTTTTAAAATTAAAATATGCTTTTATTTTGATGATCAGGTCACAGACAACATTCCTTTGCGATGCCTTTAAAAAAAACAGAAAAGCGTCTTTTAATGACCTGGTGGTTTATTAGGATTCAAACCATGACGCGTGTGAGTCTGAGGGGGAGCTGAGAGTAGTTCTTAGTTTGGGTCCTGATGTGTGCTAAAGGGGAAGGAGGCGTGTACCAGTTCCACGCGCTCCTGTCTTTAGTTTTGCACTTTCGAACGCTTTCACAAGCCGCCACATCTGTTTGCCACCGGACGGAGTCGGGCGGTTCGCTTGTGTTCTTTCTTTCCTGACCGATCCAAAATCGACCCTTTAAGACACACAAGTCACGCAATCGCACAACACCACCAACAAACCACCTGATACTGGAAACGTCAAAATCTCTGTTTTTGTGAATGGAGTCTGGTGTGCGTGTGGTTTCAGTGCCTCTACTGCAGCAGAGAACACCGCTCCGTCTGTGGTTTCGGTTGAGCGTTCTCTAACCGGACACACCTGCCTTCTCCCCCGCCTACACCTGCCCTTCTCTGTGTGTGTGTGTGTGTGTGTGTGTGTGTGTGTGTGGATCATATGCACACGCACACGTCTGTAGCCTGCAGGGATGACGAGGCGTGTTTCCGCTCGTCCGCTCCTCACTTTACGACCGCGATTAGCAGGACGTGATAATCACAGAAGTGAGTTTGAGTCAGAGCTGCGGTATTCTCCCCCCTCCTCCCCCCTCCTCCTCCCTCCTCCTCCCCCCCACACCCACTCTGTCTCTGCAACTGTTGCCAAGGCAACCAGCACTACAACACCTTCAAGGTGAAACTGAATTCTCCACACGGAGCCGTGAGAATCACACACCAAGAACACGCTCTGCGGCGCTTTATTAGATATCAGTTTGATTGATGATGTAAAAGGTGTTTTCTGTGAAAAGGCTTTTTATGAATTTACACACGGAAATTAATGTGATATATTTATCACTTCTAGAACAGGGTTTCTGTTTTTTCCTCACACTTTTATTCGATAAATAAAATGAATTAAAAGACCACAACACATTTTTTTCAAGCCTCCATACAATCCGACCTTTCCCATAATGCACCTGTCTCTCGTTCTCTGAAACCGTTTTTAGCCCCGAGGCAGTGACATCACAGTGACCTCACAGTGACCTTGTGCGTGTCTCCGTCTCAGTGCCTGCGGACGCTGGCGGGTCACACCGGCGGCGTGTGGTGCAGTCAGATGGCGGTTGCCACGGTGATCAGCGGCTCCACCGATCGGACGCTGCGCGTGTGGGATGCAGAGAGCGGCGAGTGTGTGCACACGCTGTACGGACACACGTCCACCGTGCGCTGCATGCATCTCCACGGCAACCGGTAACACACACGCACACACACACACACACAAATAGGTCAAGGAAGCCGAACATTTTCTGCTGCCTTTTAATTTCCATGACAACCAAAAAAAGACCTCCCCCCCCCACCCCCCTCCTCCTCCAGGGTGGTATCGGGCTCCCGGGACACGACGCTGCGCGTGTGGGACGTGTCGACGGGGCGCTGCGAGCACGTCCTGACGGGCCACGTGGCGGCGGTGCGCTGCGTGCAGTACGACGGGCGCCGCGTGGTGTCGGGGGGGTACGACTACAACGTGAAGGTGTGGGACCCCGAGACGGAGGCCTGTCTGCACACGCTGCAGGGACACAGCAACCGGGTGTACTCGCTGCAGGTACACACACACACACACACACACGCACACACCAGATGACGGCGTTTTCCTCGTTGACGGCGTCGTCGTCGGTCTCTCTGCAGTTCGACGGTGCGTTCGTGGTCAGCGGGTCGTTGGACACTTCCATCAGAGTCTGGGACGCAGAGACGGGTAAAGACGCCTCCTTCCTTCCGTCCACACGCGACACGTAAATAATTGAGGCTTCTCGCCACGAGGGGAGACGCACATTAAGTGAGCCGTGTGGTCTCTGGGGGGGGGACAGGGCGGTGTGTCCACACGCTGACGGGACACCAGTCGCTGACCAGCGGCATGGAGCTGCGGGACAACGTCCTCGTATCCGGGAACGCGGACTCCACTGTCCGGGTGTGGGACGTCCGGACGGGACAGTGCCTCCACACGCTGCAGGGTGAGTCCCCCCCAAACGTTAAAAATAGTAGAAATAAAATAATAAACGTCATTGTATCAGCAGGATTTTCCTCGGCCATTTCTTTGTGTCGTTGCTCATTCAGATCTTTGATTTCAGCACAAAAAATGTATTATAATAAATATATTTTACATAAATATATTTATATATTATATGTCCTCAGGTCCCAACAAGCACCAGTCGGCCGTCACGTGTCTGCAGTTCTGCAGAGGTCTCGTTCTGTCCAGCTCCGACGACGGGACGGTGAAGCTGTGGGACCTGAGGACGGGGGCCTGGCTGAGGGACGTGGTGGCCCTGCAGAGCCGCGGTTCAGGTCCGGACCCCCGCGCCCCCCTCAAACGCCCTCCGAGTCCGAGTTCTTCAGACTCCCGACCAATCACGTGTCTGTGTTCCCCGGTCAGGTGGCGTGGTGTGGCGAATCCGAGCGTCCGACACGCGGCTGGTCTGCGCCGCCGGCAGCAGGAACGGGACGGAGGAAACCAAGCTGCTGGTCCTGGACTTCGACCCGGAGGAGGGGGAGTGAGGGCGACGACAACAACAACAACAACAACAACAACAACAACAGCGACTGATTGGCCGTTGAGAAAAAGACAGAAACATCCCGGACGCCAAATGTGCCAAACGAATGTTTTATTTGATGGATCAAAAACTGTTTTTTTTATTTTTGCCAAACCGACAAAACCCGAAACCAAAAGCAGCGAATGTCGAGCTGCTTCTCAAAGGTCGGCGGTGAGGTCGCGACGCGCCTCGGGGGCCGGACGCCGGCCTGAAGGGAGAACCGGTACGACGGAGCTGAAACTTTTCAAAGTAAAATAAAAACCTTTTATGTAAAGAGGATTTCTTCCTCTTGAAAACGTTAAATCACTGAACTCAAGAAGCTTCAAACCGTCGTTCAAGATTCAGTCATTGGTCCTTTTATTCACATTAGTAGTTTTCATAGATTTCACTATTTATTATAAATCTGCCCTTCAGGGATTTCTGTCATTTGGCCGGAAAACCAATATTCTATATATTCTATAGATGTTACATACGTATGTAATATGAATATACGATGTTTGGTTGTGTATAAAATGATATATATATATATATATATTATTGGAATATCCCTGAATTTAACATTTAACCAAAACGATCTGGATCTATAAATGGAACCGTGTTTGACCCTTCTGAGCTTCCGTAGATCTTCCTACGACTTTTCCATTTAAAAACGACTCCCCTCAGCGGGTGTCGCTCCGGCCTACAAGCTGCCGTTGCCAAGCAACAGCTGGACCAATAGGCAGGAGACGATGCGTCTCCATGGCAACAGGCGGCGAGGCCGACCTTTCTGTAAATACTGTAAATACAACAAAGAGGATGTAAATATTCAGCTTTTTATGAGGAAACGTTGTTGGTGTAAAGAGAAGAATGAATAAAGACGCGTTTACAAAAACAATCGACCTGTTTACTCTCTGAAGGTCTCATCATTCAAGTAGTTTTTACTGAAACAACAAAGGGCAACATTTCAAATGTAAGATTTATTAAAGATGTGTACACAAGTACACAAGTTTTTACACACGTGTGTGTGTGTGTCTACAGGCTCAACATACATGATCATTTAACCTTTACTGAGGTCCAGCACACGTACGTACGTGAGCTTAATCAAGTCACGGATCACTCGGCCTGAGCAGGAAAGAACGTGTGTGTGTGTGTGTGTGTTATTGTCGGGGGGGGATCCAGATTGAAAGTGTTTACTGTGACATGTCAACGTACTTCCACTAAGAGCAGCATATTGGTGGAAGTAGTTTACGTTACCATGGAAACGGAGCATCCCTCTCAACTTGAATTCCAATGAACTTTATTGCAAGAAAACAAAATACTGACCAACAAAAAACGGATGTGGTTTTAAAAAACACTTTAGGTCCATTTTAATATTGATATCTTCACTCTTCTACCAAAACGTTTTTATTGAATCACTTGTATTTGTACACTAGCAGTGTACTTGTACCCACAGAGTACTTTGACTCTTTATAAGGAGGCTCCCTCTAGTGGGCGAACTGCAGACATGTGATTTAATACTAGTCTCAATAGTACAATGAATGTATTAATACTCTGATCCCCTTATATTTATACTAGTGCAGGTTGTATTTATTCAAGTCCAATAATTCAATTTATAAAGGGAGACAATATAAAAATCAAATACGGTTCTTATTTGTGTACAATTAATACATTTATTCTCTTTCAAAAAGGATTTGAGTTCTAGTTAATAAATAATATTGTATTTATTTAATTGAGGCATTTCAGAACCCGTTTATCTGCTGTGGGCTTTAATTTGCAGAAGTTGAATTAATAACTTGGGGTTTCAATCAGGAGTCTGATGTTTTCTGCAGAATGAGGACAAAGTCTTTCCATCTTTTATTTATTCGTAGTCGTTCGCTCAGCGACTCGTCCTTTGAAACATTAAATTCAGCAAGAAGCATTCGGCTTCTGATGGAAGGAAATCTGTCCGTGTGGAGAACAACCTACGGCAATAAAAACGTACATCTTCTATTTCTTTAACGACACCGACGACCACGGCGAGTCGGATCCCTCCGACGGGCGGAGGAGCCGATCACCTGATGGTGCGGTACATCATGAAGTCCACCGTGGTGCATCGTGGGAACTTCCCGATGGAGCTCTCCTCCACCGGCGTGTAGACCTTGATCTGCCGCATGTGCGTGTCCCGGCCGTTCTGGTGGTTGGCGAGCACGGCGATCTGGATCATGAAGGTGCTGATTGGCTCGTTGGTCCGCTGAACAAACAACAGCAAAGAACACAACAGCTGGGATGAAGATGACAATCATGTTTTATTGATTGATCAGAAACTAAACACAAACAAAACAATCACATCTGTGCAAATATTTCATGGTGAAGTGAAGACGTTTTGTACCTGATTCAACAGCGAGATGTGAATCCAACCGCTGGGCTCCACCATCTCCAACTGCTGCAGAGAGGACGGAGGTGGGGAGGGAGAGGAAGGAGGTGGGAGGGAGTGGAGGAGACGGTGAGAGCTGAGCAGACGATGGCGGCGGCGGCAGAGCGTCACATGAGTACAGGCGCGTTTACCCGGATCTCTTGCAGGTTGTGGAAGTTGTTCCCCACCCTGACGGAGATCTTACTGGGCGTGTAGCTCTCATCCGATTTATAATCGGCATAAATACACAACATCTTCACGGTGGTTCTCCTCCTGAGCAAAGGAGCAGACGGGTTTCAGACCTCGTGAGGACCCCTGCGTGTCCCCCCCCCCCCCACCCGCGTCCCAGTTCCCCCAGTGTTACCTGAACTGGATGTTGACCAGGTGGGGCTGGGATCCGTCTGACTGCCAGTACGTCTCCAGGTTGTCGTCCCTCAGCTGATCCACCCCGAAACCTGCACGGGAGCAGAAACGGGTCATGTGACTTCAGCCCGAACTCTAGTCCGGCATGACGCGCACGCGCGCGCGCTCCGGGGCTTTGGGTCTGACCGGGTTTGCACGACGAGAGGGACCACACCGCCTGGGAGCCGATCTCCCGGACCGTCCCGGTCCGCTCCAGCTGCTTCGGGTCGGCGCCGGGGGGCGTCTTGCTCGGGGTGGCCATCGTTCCGCCCCCCCCCCCACACCCCGGGGAGAGGCCGCAGTGCGCGCTGGTCAAGGAAGTGGGCAACGAGACGCCAAACGCCGCTTACGTTCCCGCCACGCGGACGTCACTCTGCGTCTAGTAAAAACATCACAGCAGCAAAGTGAGCTCGTGAATGTCGATGCGAGCCGTTAGCATCGTGCACGCTGTAGCATCCACACCAAGTGTCCCCGTGGCCGACAAGACAAGATTCTTTTAGAACACATCGGTTCTTTTAACCGAATCTATAAGTGGAATCATTTGTTGTTCTTTGAGCGCGTGAAAAGGAAACATGTCACTTTAACGGAGCGTGTTGAGGAGCTAAGGCTAACTGCTAGCATTGACTATTCCTTCGCTAAAGCGACAATAACTCGTCTCACGACATAAATATTGGTAAAATCCTACCGGACGTGTCAGTGAGACTCCGATGTGTCGCGTGAAAGCGTCACGCGCTCCGCCGAAGACGGATCGCAACGTAAATCGGTTCCACTCACTTCGAATCTCCCTCTCCGTCGCGGTGTAGCGTCCGCGTCGCTTCCCGATGACGTCACGGCGTCGCGTTTCTAACCGCGTCGCTCCCGCCATCTTTCCTGCCGGCGTCCAGTAGAGAACACGTTGCTTGGGGAAGAAGAAGAAGAAGGAAAAAAAAAGTTGAACCCCCAACTGTTCGTGTTTAAACGTCGCTTCTTGGCTTTATTTGAACGAAGCCGGAAACGGGAGCAGACAACGGGTGAGTTCTTAACTTATCGATCCGTATCTGGGGCCTTCGCTTAGGCTTCAATTGCCTTTAAACGAGCGCTGTTTCCCCGACCGAGCAGCTGTCAAAGTGCGGGGCCTCCGTGGCTAACGTCGCAGTGGAGCTAACGGCTAGCTAGCTTGCTAGGAGCCGCCTTGTTAATGCTCGTGCGCACCGACGCGGCACAGCTCCGCGTTCCCCTCCGATCGATCCGCTCGAGGGGGCAGGTGTCGCCGGAGCGGATCGATGTATTCACGGTGACGGACGCGACCCGGACGAGTTCTGCAAACGGCCGTAAATACATCGCCGGTTAAATGTTTCGTCCGTGTGTGTTTTCCACGGTGGTGATCAGCTGGTGATGAGCAACGAATCGGCAGGTTTGTGTTCGGTGCCCGTTGAATCAGACTGATCTCCATGGCAACTCCGTTATGTCTCTGAGGTGGTTGTTAAAGGCTAAACGCAGGGCCGCAGGCTGCTTCCTGCACGTCAGTCCGCCCCCAGGAGGCCCCGGAACCAAGCTAGCACAGTATTAACCCCCCACTCTTTGGTACCCGGGTATCTCCACCCCCTCCTCTCATCCCCATCAATCAGCCTCTGACTCCTCGTCTCCTCCATCAGCTCCGCGGGTGCTGCCCTCCGTCATTCCAGCCCTCCGTCATGGCGGATAAGAACACCAGGATCGCCATCGTCAACCACGACAAATGCAAACCCAAGAAATGCCGCCAGGAGTGCAAGAAGAGCTGCCCGGTGGTCCGCATGGGTGAGTGGGCTTGCTGAGGTACGACACAATGAAAGCATGAGGAAGCTCACCAACAGGTGTGTGCGTGTGCGTGTGCGTGTGCGTGTGTGTGTGTGTGTGTGTGCAGGTAAGCTGTGCATCGAGGTGACGCCGCAGAGTAAGATCGCCTGGATCTCCGAGTCGCTGTGTATCGGCTGCGGCATCTGCATCAAGGTAAGGACGGGCGGTGCGGAGACGGGGGGGACGCCACCAGCTGCGTTGGTCCCGACGCATCTCGGGTTATTAAAATGAGTCCTCGTGTTTTTGTGCTGGTAGAAATGTCCGTTTGCCGCTTTGTCGATCGTCAACCTGCCGAGTAACCTGGAGAAGGAAACAACGCACAGATACTGCGCCAACTCCTTCAAGCTGCACCGGTACGCCGCCACGTTACCGCCCAGTTCTCCCTCCTCAGCGTACCGGCAGTCACTTGGGTATTAAGTGTGTGTTTCTGTGTGTGTGTGTGTGTGTGTGTGTAGGCTGCCGATCCCGCGGCCCGGTGAGGTTCTGGGTCTGGTTGGGACCAACGGTATCGGCAAGTCCACGGCGCTGAAGATCCTCGCCGGCAAACAGAAACCCAACCTGGGAAGATTCGACGTGAGTGTCTCTGTGTGGAGGAGGAACGTTGGGTGGAGCTGAGATCTTTATCTTCTGTTGAGCCGTTTGCTGTTGAAGATAAAGAGGTGGCTGAATTCCAATTGTCAAAGAATGACTCCTAACCACTTCTCCTCACGTCGGTTCCTAACCACTTCTCCTCACGTCTGTTCCTAATCACTTCTCCTTGACCTCTGTGGAAACCGTCATGGAGTCAAGGAAGGATGGTTAGGAGAGTTGATGAGGAGTTAGGAAAGGACAGTGAGTGGACTCCTCTGAGCTGCGTCGTTGTCGCTTGTTGGTGTTGTTGTGTTTGTTGTGTTGTTGTTTGTGAGTCGTGCAAACACACAAACAACCAAAGGGAAACTGCGTCGTGATCGTTAATTCTCATGAACGGACCAATGATACGTCACTATTTAAATATCGCCGCCACATGGAATTGTGGGACGGAATCACCTCCTTTCCTTCGGTGAAGGATGCTCCAGTGGTTCCTAAAGGAGATAAGGAAGCACTGAAGCTCCTTTTTCTGTTTTGAATCAGACGGTTTGTTTCTGTGCTGCAGTTTATTTCACTTTTTGTGGATCGAATCACGTAGTGTTGGAAACAATGATGTCATTAATATGTCTCCTCCTTCTGATGGTTTCCCCCGTGTCCTCCTCCAGAACCCCCCCGACTGGCAGGAGATCCTGACCTACTTCAGAGGCTCCGAGCTGCAGAACTACTTCACCAAGATCCTGGAGGACGACCTGCGGGCCATCGTGAAGCCGCAGTACGTCGACCAGATCCCCAAAACCGTCAAGGTGAGTCCACTGTGCTTCAGTGTCTGTGGGACAAACGTGTCTCACACTGTCTCCTTTGAGATCTTCCTATTTTCTGTTCTATTTTCTTTATATTTTTATACCTATTTTTTCTTATTTCATTTTACATTATTGCATCTTATTTGATCTTTTATGTATTAACGTTCTTTACTTTCACTCGACTGGTTTTCATGTTGGTTCATTTCTATAGTTTCCTATTTTTTGCATTAAGAACCTTATTATTAGTGTTTGTTTATTGTTTATTTTAGTAGTTTTTGTTTGTAATTCCTCTTTCTGCCTCCAGGGGTCAGTGGGGTCCATCCTGAGCAGGAAGGACGACACCGAGACGCAGACCATCGTCTGCAAGCAGCTCGGTAACACACACACAGACACACACACAGTAACACACACACACACAGTAACACACACACACACACAGCCATGTAATGTAAGTCGCTTTGGATAAAAGCGTCAGCTAAATGACCTGTAATGTAACACAGAATAAGGATGGATATATTATAGTATTTATATCTTTATTATATTTATTATTATTATATCTTTGGTGGCTTTGAACTCTTAAGTCGTCACTTTTTCAGACGTTTTTATTAACAAACTTACATATTTCCGTAAATACGATGTTTCATTATCGCTTAACCTTCGTTAACTCGTCTGCGCTCTGATTGGCCGGCAGACCTGACTCACCTGCGGGAGCGTAACGTGGAGGACCTGTCGGGAGGAGAGCTGCAGAGGTTCGCCTGCGCTGTGGTCTGCATCCAGAGAGCCGACATGTGAGGAGACGCCGCCCTTGTTGTTGTTGTTGTTGTCGTCTTTGTTGTTGTTAAACTCTTTTCCGTCCTCAGATTCATGTTCGACGAGCCGTCGAGTTACCTGGACGTCAAGCAGAGGCTGAAGGCCGCCATCACCATCCGCTCGCTCATCACCCCCGACAGGTGCTCCTCCCCCTTTGTTCTACGTTAGACTCCTCCCACTTCGTCACAGCTGGAACGGTTCATGGTTCCAGATGCTGTTTCCTTTGAACAAATGAATCAAGTTGATTCATTCATTGTTTTTGTGTTCTCACTTGCCTCTCTGTCCCCGCGTGTCCCCGTCCCCGCGTGTCTCAGGTACATCATCGTGGTGGAACATGACCTCAGCGTGTTGGATTATCTCTCTGACTTCATCTGCTGTTTGTACGGAGTCCCGAGCGCCTACGGAGTCGTGACGATGCCCTTCAGTGTCAGAGAGGGTAACAACGACAACAACAACAACAACAACAGGGATGTAAACACTTGGACAGGTAGTAACTGTGTGCCCCCCCCCCCCACAGGCATCAACATCTTCCTGGACGGTTACGTCCCCACAGAGAACCTGCGGTTCCGAGAGACGTCGCTGGTCTTCAAAGTGGCCGAGACGGCCAACGACGAGGAGGTGAAGCGGCTCCGCCACTACCAGGTCCGCCTCCTCCCTCCTCGCTCGCCTCCTGCTTCCTGCCTCCTAGACGATACCTATTTCTTTGTTATTTGAGCGTCGTTCTTTTGCTCCCAAAGTATCCGGAGATGACGAAGACGATGGGCGAGTTCAGCCTGGAGATCAAAGCGGGCGAGTTCACCGACTCGGAGATCATGGTGATGCTGGGGGAGAACGGTGAGACCTTTCACAATAAAAGCCCTAGAAATGAACGAGGCATCGCGCTTCACACGAGACAACTTGAGTACTAACACACACACACACACACATTATATATATAAACTCATGTTGGTTTTTTGCTGGTTGTTTGTGTGTCTGCAGGCACGGGGAAGACGACTTTCATCAGGATGCTGGCTGGAGGACTCAAACCGGACGGGGGAGGTGAGTCTCTGTTACGTCCCTTGACTGACCGAAGAGCAACAAATGAAAATAAACTATAAGAGAAGGAATTTGTCAACAAAAGAGATTTATTTGACAATGAATCAAAACACACACACACACACACACACTCTCTCATCCACCGCGGCACCAGAGAGAACCTGTAACATCTCCCCCCCCTCTCACCTGTGGTCTCTTCCAGGTGATATTCCCATCCTGAGTGTCAGCTACAAGCCTCAGACCATCAGCCCCAAGTTCAAGGTGTGTTTGATCTGCTCATCGCGACACGCCGATACAAGACTTACCGACTGTTCTTATTCGTACGTCTTCAAACTGTGTGTTTGTGTGTTTCAGGGCAGCGTCAGAGCTCTGCTGCACGAGAAGATCAGAGACGCCTACACTCACCCTCAGTTCATCACCGACGTGATGAAGCCGATGCAGATCGAGAGCATCATCGACCAGGACGTAAGACGCCGACCTGTGACTTCATGAGGAGTACTGAAAGCAGCACCTGAACTTAAGCCCCGCCCCCCCACCCACAGGTGCAGAACCTGTCTGGAGGAGAGCTGCAGCGAGTCGCCCTCACTCTGTGTTTGGGGAAGCCGGCGGACGTTTATCTGATCGACGAGCCGTCGGCCTACCTGGACTCTGAGCAGCGACTGATGGCTGCCAGGGTCATCAAGAGGTCACGACACGCCGCTGCACGTCCTCCCCTAACCTCCCCCCTAACCTCCCCCACACCCCCGTCTGACTCTGGTGTGTTTCTACCTGCAGGTACATCCTCCACGCCAAGAAGACGGCGTTCGTGGTGGAGCACGACTTCATCATGGCGACGTACCTCGCCGACCGAGTCATCGTGTTCGACGGGATTCCCTCCAAGACGACCGCCGCCAACACGTGAGAGGAGCGCTCCCCGTTCATACTGCATGCGTGTAGCGTGTGTGTGTGTGTGTGTAATGAGTGTGTGGGGGGGGGCAGTCCTCAGGGTCTGCTGGCGGGGATGAACCGCTTCTTGGCGCTGTTGGAAATCACGTTCAGAAGAGACCCGAACAACTTCAGGCCGCGCATCAACAAGTGCAACTCCATCAAGGTACAAGTACACCGGAACCCGTGTATCTGTGTGTATCTGGTACCGCGTTGGTTGATTCATTAACGCATCGCTGCCCCCAGTTACACGCCGTTAAGTTCTCTCATTTTGTCTCTCAGGACACGGAACAGAAGAAGAGCGGGAACTACTTCTTCCTGGACGACTGATACGGCGCCCATGTGACTTCCTGTGGCGTTCAAAGTGCACCGTGTTAATAAAATGCATCGTAGGAGCGGTAAAAGAAGCCCGATGGCCTTTTATGCATCAGGCTGCATTCAAGGTCAAATGTTGCGATTACGTTTCATCACTCGTTCATCTACAGACGAAATAAAGTGACGCTACCTGATCCCAGAGCAGCTTCTGATGATTGTGACTCACTTCAACATGATGCATTTTACACTGAAGTCAGATGTGCTGTATAATAACAATCATAGGACGCAACGATGAACAATCATCTAGAATTAAATGTGTATTGTGCGCTTTTGTTTGGTCAACTATAGAAAAACAGCATATGACAAAGTGCCACCGTGTCAACCCTGCTCGCCAGGTGCCTTAAGTCATCGACCATACGGACTCCTCTGGTTACGTTAACGTTTCCTACAGGCGATCTATAAGATCATCTCTGCAATTCCAACACAATGAAACAAAAAGGACCTTTTTCCAACCAAGTTTTATTTAATCATTCGCATTGAAAAAAAAAGGCCCCAAAAACCAAAGAAACATGGCGAACGTAAGGCACTTCATCTCTAGAGCTGATTACACGCGACAATGAAAATAAAACCGGACCCACAAACAACACTGACAGATTTGATTTGTTTTTTGGCAGCAATAAAACGACAGGTTTGTTCTTTGCCTTTAGCTCGCAGCGCTAACAAGAAACCAAACGTTACCCCTCGTCAAAATAAAACGTTACCACTTTTGGGAGATATTAGGTGATTGATTCATGTTAGCACAGTGTAAATAAAGCCACAGCTACAACATGGCTAGCTTAGCATCAGGACTGGGGTCTCATGCTAAGATAATTGGCTAATAGCTGTTGCTCGATGTAAATCTCATCCAACTGAGCAGAAAATAAGAACCCCTCTCATAGGCTGAGCTAGTATCCTCTCTCCCGGCCCCTCCCCCTGTGGGAGGGGCTATACTGAATGTAGCTTGAGTCCACTCCATCATCTCCCCCATGTCTCCTCCGGGGGCCCCCCCGCGCAGGGTCGTAGCCTCCCCTCCCCCTCCCGCCCCTGGGGTTCTTCCTCAACCCTCTGGGGTTCGAGGTTGCCGGTCTGAATCCCGCCTCCTCCCATTGGTCCTCCGTGCTGCAGCTCACGGACGCGGTGGACATGTAACCCAGCTGCCCGGGCTCCGGGGGCCCCAGCTGGACGTACGCGTTGGCGGGATGATGTGGTCTCTGGTAACTACGGCAACCGCGGGGGCGCCTGTTGTCCACGGAGACGTTGAGGTCGTACGGCGACGGAGAGCCGGGGGAGCTTCTGGGATTCATGGTTGCCATGGAGACGTCCTTGACGTCAGGCTTCGAAACCAGCGTGATCTGAGAGGAGAGACGTGTTTTAACCTCATTCAATACTTGTGTACTGCAGGTACTTTGACAGTACTCCGCTGTGTGTGTGTTTTACGTACTATGGGGGTGTTGTTGAACGGCGGGTCCACCAGCAGCACGGCTCGGGTCAAACCGTCTCCCGCCTCCTTCAGGCCTGATGGGATTACCCAGAAACCCTCAGTGGAATCACTTCGTAATTTACATTAAAACACTTTGCCGTATCGTGTGGTTTTATTTACACGTACCGAAACCAGCTTTGTTGTTGTTGTTAGCGTTAGCCACGTTAGCAGCAGATGGGCTGGGCTGACGCTGCTCCATCGGGAGCTCCTCGTGGGCCGATGGAGACAGGTACCCCATGGAGGAGGGAGGGGGGTACTGGGGGTACACGGGCTGGCCCTGAGACCGCTGGTATCCCTGAGACATGGGCGGGGC